TTTAATAATGACTGGCAATTTCTAAGAAAATTAAATGTTCAAATTCTTTATGATTTTAATATTTCCTTTTAATCCATTCTTAGAAATTTTTTGTTTAAATGTACTTTAATATTTATATAAAAATATTTAAATATTATTGATAAATAATATTTATTATTTCATAAAATTTTTTCCATTAAAATTTTTCCAAAAACATCCGTTCAATTTTTGCAAATTCCAAATAGAAAAATGTAAGTACTTTTAATTGAGTCATCATTTACTTTGGCATTTCAGAAATATTATTTAAAATTTATCATGTAATGTTTTTCCTTCTATTTTTTAAAAGTATCTTAGGGATTAAGATTTTGGTTTACAGTATGAATTTTTGAGTAGTTTAGAAGATATTTAGAATAATAATCGTAGTTAGAAGGATCCTATAAATTTTAAATCAAAAATGAAAGCAATCATTCGTTATTGTAATACATAAACACAATATTACAGTATTTTCTCTAAAATATTCCTCGGGCTATTTTTCGATCGACCTTTATAGGGTGGCTATTCTAGAGGTGGCTATATTTCGATGTCAAAATTTTTTGAAAACTAAAATTTATTGAAATTATTCTACTTATATTAAAAAATTATCCTAAGCTTATGAAATTCTCAAAATTTCGAGATTTTTGGCTTAATCTCACCATTAAAATCACAAGCACAATCGTGTCAATATAAATAGATTTGGTGGAATCCATTTCCTCGAGTAGATTAAATGTATATCAGGATATGCAGAGGATTAAAGGAACTATAGAGGAATGTGGGCATGATATCGAGTCATGAAGAGGGGTTAAAGAGGATATCGAGGTAAATAGGTGTATTTGAAGGTCCCAATCCTTAATGCCCACAATAATATTGTGAATTATCCACCACTCTTCAATCCAACAGAATCCCCTTATATACCTCAGTATCTTTACAAATCCACCGATCTGTATTCCTTAGGAAAGAAGGAATATTTTACAAATCCTGGTGTTTGAGAACGTTTTATTTTTTTAATCCTTATTTTCAGTAACTTGAATATATATATCAGGGAACACCGTAAATAATTATGGGCATTATGTATTTATTAAATACTAAATTTAATTTAAAAATTCTATACCGTTTTAATTATTTTAGTTTCTCTTTAATTAATTTCTAGAAACTTATCTTTATACGGTTCCGTGACTTTTGCGCCGAGAACATTTGCGCCGCGACTTATGCGCCGCGACTTTTGCGCCGCGACTTATGCGCCGAGCGACTTTTGCGCCGGGGGACTTTTGCGCCGCGACTTTTGCGCCGGGCGACTTTTGAGCCGCCACTATCATTAAAAATATATCAATAACTACAGCCGGACCTCACTTTAGTAGGGTTGTCGAATAGTTGGAAATCTTCGGATCTGATATCCGAACTGAAAGTTTCGGATATCCGGCATTTTTCGGATCCGGATTTTCTAAACAATGGCGGCGCAAATGTCGCGGCGCATAAGTCGCCCGGCGCAAAAGTCGCGGCGCAAGAGTCGCGGCGCAAAAGTCGCCCGGCGCAAAAGTCGCGGCGCATAAGTCGCGGCGCAAATGTTCTCGGCGCAAAAGTCGTGATACCCTTTATACATATGTAAAACTTTTCCATTTAAATAATCCTTAAATTCTGAAAATATTTTAACAAAATCTTTATTTATTAAAAGATAAGTAAATTGGAAGAAGTGTTTGTATATTTATTTAAAAATTTATATAAGTAGTTTTTAAACCAATTGCTTATTTAATTTTAGAATTGTCTTTTCATTTTATTTAATATTTATTTAAATTAAATTTATTTAACATATTTTTTTATATTTTTTTGAAAAAATTATGCGTCTAATCAAATTTTTATGCGTCTAATCTATGGGGATAAGTACCCTGCGTGTCTACTTACCCAGAGTATGACCACACGCGCTATAATCATAGGTTTTAACACACAAAATCGCGTACTCATTGTCATAAATTTAAGTTATAAAAATATGATTGGACGCATAAAAATTTCGTTTTGACGCGTAATATTTTCATTGGGTGTATATCCATCTACTACAAATATTTATTTATAGTCTAAAAATGTTGAAAATATATCATTTAAAAGATAAAATAAATAAAACTTCCTTGTTATTAACTAAATACTTATTTTTAGGGTTTACATATAAATACATTTTTTTTCTAAATTTTTTTGTTTGTTACGTACCTGAATACACTTAATCCTTAACAAAATGTATATTTTTAGTATCTAAGTCCGTCTATATTTTAATTGTTGCGGATATAAACTTTCAAATTAATAACCGTTTTAGTATTTTTTCCTATATAGAAAAAGTAAGTTAAAAACATCTTACTTTGTTCATAAACAATTTAAGGATGCGATGTAATAACCGTATAGTACAATTATTTTGAATATTTTTGAGAGATATCTATGCTTACTAATAAATAGTATTCATTCGGAAGTTGCTGTTCCGGATGACCACCTGTAAGGTTCCTCCCAATAATCGTTCTCCCAATATTTAAAAATTTATATAAACAATGAAATCCTATCAAAGTTCTAGTCTGTCTTTTTAAATACTTAATATTAAAATTTAATTTGTGCACAAGAAATTATGCACAAGCTTTACTCAAGACACGGAGATCATCTATATTTTTACTGTATGCATATTTTTCTTTTTTCATTTTCTGAATTAAATTAATTAAGCATACCGTAAATTCGTAAATTCTCTAACACTCTCTATTTGAAGCACACTCCATAGTAAAAGCACACCCTACGAGTGGATCGAAAAAGTGGTTCTATTAGAGCATTTACGGTATATTTATTTAAAATCCCTTAAAACAATTAACCAATCATCAGATTATGTATTCATAAGTACCTTTTTTGGAAGAATATTAAGTGTGTTTAATCCTCGAAAAAGGGGAGGAGTCTACTTTTTGCAAACAAAACAAGTCTGAGAGGGGCTGTCTCATTTTTATTTTCAAAACAGGAGGCATTTAAGCTTCTTAATCTAGACTATAAATATTTGCTTAAATGGCGGCTTTTCCCTCATTTAGAAAACGATTTAAAAAAGTTCTAGAGAAGGACTATTTTTTACTTTTATTAGATTATAAAATAAGAATTTTTTAATTAAAAAATATTTATGTAATAATTTTTTTAAATTTAATATTTAAATTCAGATTATTTCATTTCCAGCATAATATTATTTAAATAAACCAAAATATTAAATTAAAATGCCGATAATCTACAAAAATATTTTTTTACCATTTTTATTTTTTATTTTTCAATTTAATTTATTTTTGATTTATTCCCCAACTGCTCAAGCTAAGAAAATTAAAGAATCGCTAGCTATAATTAACGAACACAAAACAAATGAAGTTTTGGTCGAAGAGAGCCATGCTTCATCTGTCCGTCGACAGCGCGATCTCAAAGTTCCCGAGGAAAAAGAAAATAAAGAAAATAATGAATGCACAATACGTGTTAATAAAGTAAAATTTGAAAATTAATATGGATTAGGAGTTTAACTGTTTTTATTAAGTAGTCTGTATCTGATATTTTTAAGAAGGACTAAACTTTTAGAACGAGGTCGTACATATGTTTTTAACCTGACCTGGGTGAAGACATAAAGATTCGGTTACCTAAGTGTCAGAATACAATTACACAACACCTAAATTATAATTTTAAAATTTTGGGGTTTTCAAGCCATTTATTATTCATTTTTAAATTTAAGGTAATTGAATATCCAGGCAAATGCGTTAGAATAAATGGTGGCACAGCATGTAAAAACGATCGTTTCTTGGATCCATATAACAATGAATGCTGAAATTGTTTTCCCAAAATATTTTTTTTATTAAAAATAATTATTTTCATCTTTTTTATAAAAACCGAATTAAAATTACACTGCCGGAATAGAAAATTGGGACAGACTAATTCATGGAATCTTTAGAAGCCTTAAAACCGATTTTTAACTTATCTTTAGATGGATGTAAATTTTAATAAACTGTTTTTTTCCGGCATTTTAATTGTTAAAGAGGATTGAATTCATAATATTTTTTGATAATTGAAAATAAAAAAAATAATTTTATGTCAGTTTAAAATTAAGTGTTTATATAAAATTAGGTTCGATATACTTTACCCGAAGATGTCTTTAGTTTGATTTATATTGTTTTTTGCAATAGTAGGACATCCGATTCCACTGACTTTTAAATACGTAACTGATTACTTTTAATTTTACTTTTGTTTAAATTGGGTGTTAAACTTTTTTTCTGAAATATTCTCAGTAATTCTGTCCCCGAGAATTTATATCCAAGGGCACTGTCCATCAGAAATCACCTTCATCTATTGAAGGGTTGGAGATAATTTAAGATAGTGCTAAAACTCTTACATTTACCTATATTTAAAAAAGTCTTTAAGTACTATATTTCTTTTTAAACAAATCTTTAGTTTCTATTTTAATGCATTTAGACAAATAATAAAAAATACTTCTTATTAAAAAGGAAACAAAAAATTTTCAATGTAAGCTAATTTATTTTTAAAAAATATTATAATAATACAGTAATTTAAAAATGACTCATTGAAAACGAAATTTGATTTAAATATCCCGTTTAATGTACTTAAATTAAAGATTGAACCGAGACTGAAGAAAAATCATGGTTATGGAGAATCAAGATTTTTTAAAATAACCGATCTTGATTCAGTACGATACTCTTATTTACGTCTCTACTATAAATATTAATTAACAACAGTTGTTTTGACTGTACTTCTAGAAATTCGAAATAAATAGATAATTAAATTAATAATTCATATTAATGTTAAAATAAATTTCTAAATAAAATTAGGCTAAATATAATGAAACATGAAAAACAAAAGGCTAAATTAGATAAATTATGATCCGTAACAAAAATCCTAATAATTGAAAGTTTAAATTAGCAAAGGTCTAGATAATATTTTTTATTCAAAAAAAAATAAAATTACAAATATTTTATTATTAGTTTAAATCAAACGAGTTGCGTCTCCCATCGATAATCAACTGGTTTAAAATCCCAACGGTCTGGATGTCCAAAATGTTTGACTTTAGGAGCCTAGAAATTTATTTAAAAAATAATTATTAATTAAAAATTTAATAGAATGGAATTTATTTACTTAACCTAATTATTTTTTAAAAAAATAGTTAACAGATTTCATTACTGAATTTTGCATTGATTTATGAGATAATTTTATAGGAAAAATCTATGAGAATTTTTTAAATCTTTTCAATTATTTATTTACCAAAAGACTCGTTCTCCAATCAAATACAGGAACATTTCCATATGTGGGACCACTCCAAGCACGAAAACGTAGTTGTTTTGCTAATTCATAATTAGTTCCCTAATTAATTAAAAATATATTTTCTTAATTAATTAAATATCTACTTTATAATCCAATGCCCCGTGGTTGACATGTCCCATGCCTGGAAGTGGATAAGTGCCGTTTGGCTCATTTAAATCACCACGAGATGAAATTGCTAAATTTAGAATTTTATTTTTTGTGTGATAAATAATAAATCGGACCTGCTTCTGCTGTATAGGGCGGAGAACATTTACACCGACTAAATTCATCATGTTTATAGTCATTATATCTTAAATAAGTAATTACAATTTATTAATTTAATAAAAATTAAATAGAAATTAGCTCACCTCATTAATTTAGTTAAAGTATCTAAATCAATCACTTTATTATGATCTCTAGCAAAAATTTTTGCCCGAGGACAGTCTGTCCAGTTAAACCAGTAAAATTCATTTCCTTTTGCTTTAAATCCACTAATCCTGCTAGCTTTCTTGAAAAATGGAATGTTATAGCTTGCAAAGTATGTCTTCTCTTTTAAATATAAACTCAGATCCTGATAATAGACATGGCCGCTGAAATTAATATTTTGATTAGAAGATTTCTTTAATTTTTAAAAACTGAAGAAATCAATTCGATTACTGTGAGTAATTTAAAAAATATTTATTTTAGTCATTTTTGTAAACAATTTTATTAAAATTACAAGATTAAAAGAATATGTACTTTATTTAATTTTTTATTCTCCCCTCTCTCTCTTACCATACCTCTTATTGACCATTAAATAATAATTAATATAAGTGACCAATACTGTAATAACTTGTTGAAATAGAAAACCACTTATTTTAAGGTCCAATAAGAATTTGGGATAAACAAAGGTACATAGTCTAACAGGAAGTTATAGAATGTGAAGAGATTTTAGAACGAAAAACATGAGAGTTATTTAAGATTTTCACGGTAAAAACATGACTAGTGGCTAATTGCCCTAAGATTAAAATTATCCTTCGCCTAATATAGAAAACAGCAAAAAAACAGAGCTGAATTTACTATTTATAAAATTTTGAGATTAGGATTTCAGAATATTTTTTCAAAATGTGTTTCAGTACCGTTAGTCACGTTTTGATTGATATAAGTTTGTTTTCGACAGTTTTTGTTTAAATATCATAAAATACCATTTTACAACCTTTACACAAAATTAACAAAAATTTCCCTATTTCTGAAATTCCTATGACTTTTTCATTTCGATTTAATTGTCTAAAAGTGAAAAGTAAAGGAATTGTACAGAATAAGACCTTAATATTAATTTCACAATTTCCTATTCGAAATAAATACTTGTAAATTTTACTTACGGCATTTGTTCCAAAACATAAAAAAGTCCAGAATCAGGTAATGGTTTTTCTGGAGTAAATCGTTTGTAGTCCAAAATGCCCCATTGATTATTATAAGTGCCAGAATTATAGCGTTTAAAAATTTGGCACCATTCTCGAGGTGTTCGTGATAATAAATTTGCTACTACAGCTCGAACCCAACAAAGTATCTTTAAAATTATATTAATTATTCATTGATAATTAGAATTACCTGTCCTTGTGTTTTTGTAGCTTCATAAAGTGATATATTCCAAACTTTTACTGTTGTTTCTATCACTGCCTAAACAAACTCAGAAATAATTTTACAAAGTATTCTTTACCAATCCTGTACTAGTCAAAGCAAAATCGTCAGACGAATAAATAACTCCGGGATATCCAGCAAATGTACTTGTATGTCCAGGATAAAGAATTGAATCTTGAATTATTAATAAAATTAATTTTTAGTTTAAATCAAACTAACCAACACCAAATTTGTAAAGTTTAAGCATTCGAAGCATATTTTGAAATCCAGACATTGTAACTAATTAAAAAATAATTAGGAAAATTTTTTTAAAAAATATTCTTTAATTTATTCAAATTAATCCTTATCTCCTATTTAGGATTAAAAATAAATTCAACCTTGTGATATAAACAAATCAGCATTATTAGGGGCCACCTAAAAAGATAATCTGCTTTTAAATAAATACGTAAATAAATATTATCTTTAAAAGTTAACATTAATTTATAATTAATATTTATTTAAAATTAAAAGATTTATAGTGGTAGGGAGAATTTTTAAAAATTAATCCACAAAACTCTCGTTCCGTCCAAAATTTGAGAGTTTATGAGCGAAAATTTAAGATTATAAGCTTTATTATTTTAATGGATTTACTTAACAAAAATCCATCTTTCTATGAATTAAAAAATGTTTCCTTTCATTTTACTAGATTTGAAGGAAATTCCTTGTATAAATATTAGGGTTGTCGGTTCTTGGAAAATCTTAGGATACCTCGTTTCTTCGGGTCGGTTCGTTCCAGAACCAACAACACTAATTATTATTATCAAATAAAAACACCGAATTTAAAATTTTTAAGATTTTTTTGTAAACAGTATAAAGAATAAAATTATGATTAAAAAATAAATTTAAAAGTCCATAAAAATTTCACCTTAATTAATCCTGAACACCTTCCACCAGTTATATCATCAGCTGGATCTTTTGTTTTGTTTAATTTGGATTCCAAATCATAAAAGTCTCCATTTGAATTTAACTGTTAAATATATAAATTAGCGAATTTCTGAGATTCTTAATAAAATATTATTTAAGTAAATAACCTACCAACATAACAAAATGTGCTTCATATTGAATAGAAGGATTAAATTTTGATGAAGAATAACCATGCCATATACCTGTTAATTGCATATAGGCCATTTTAACCTAAAAAAATTTTTTTTTCTTCTTTTTAAAAATATGTAAATTACCGCTTGCCAGTAAGGATTGTCTTTTGCAGCTGTGTCTATTTTCCTCTTAACATATTGCATATTTTCATCAAGAAAAATCATCAATTTTTTGCAATAATTTTGATATCCTTTGCAGTAATCTTTCACAGTATTTTGGATGTGTAAATGTAACACCCGTTGAGTTAAGACCCCTATTTTTAATAAAAATATTTAAAATTGTCATAAATTCGAGGATAGAATTTACGACACAATCGAGATATGTATGAAAAAATGTAAAATTGGCAAAGAATTTTGTTCTAGAAATGCTTAAGGTTTAATATATGAAATTCAGAATTGCCCAAAGACTAGAATCCAAGTATAACGTATTGAAATAAAACTAAGATCATGAGTCCTTAATTAATTCAATTGTAAATGTAATAGGGGAGCCTTATTCAAAATTTGGTACAGGAATTGAAGAACAGCGTTTTTTAAATATATTTAACATTATTATGCCCGATACCTTCAATATATCCAGCAGCATATGCTTGAAATCCTGGTTCATATTCACCTTTTGTTTCAATCTTGAAGTTAAAATAAACAATAAAAATTTTATTAAATAATGTAACCTCTAAATAAGACCATCCAGATATATTTATCGCGTTACGAAAACGCCCCAAAGCAACTTAAAATTTAACAAAGTTAAGGATCGTTTTTACAAATTTGCCTTGATATCTACAATCCAAATTATTTACAACCATCGGTTTTCCGTCAATAAAACAAATACTTTTGTATGTATAATCTGTGTCATATCCCTCATTTTCCTCCTGCAGAATTTCCTGTTTTTCCTCAGATAAATCCTTTAATTAATTTATTTAAAGTAAATTTAAATTTATTTTGACATTTTTTAATATTTTTTTAATTTAAAAGACTGCTTTAAAAAATGTTTTTTCTTCTTTTTTTTTACCAAAAATTAAAAAATATTATGTAAATATTAGTCATTAAAATTTTTACAAATAAATCATTGAACTTGAAATCTTCTAAATTTGTATTTTGTACTTTATTCAAAATCTGGTCTCTCGCCCTTTGCCAGAAAGGAAGTCTTTCAGAATTTATTAAAGTAACTAAAAAAAGAAAGATTAAAAAATAAAATAATGTGTGAGTAAGGATCTTATTACGAAAGATTACAAATAAAAATAGGGCTTTAACTTTGAGAAAAATAAAAGAAATTATTGAAATTTTAAATTTTATTATTGTAAATACATAAATTATTTTTATTAATTTAAATTAATTAAAGTTTATCCAACAAAAAATTTATAAGTAAATATTGCTTACCAATTTGAAGGATAAATATTCCTATAAAATAATATTTAATTAACATTTTTATTTATTTATTGGATTATTTCTTAAAATAATTTATTTATAAATTTAAACACTGAAGAATAAATGAAGAAATAAATTTAAAAAAATATTTTGGTAATTATTGTTGATAAGAATAATTATATATAGATAAGAAATATTCTTTAGAGAATGAAACATAAAATAACACTTTTAATATCTTATCAACATTCCTTTTTTTAAAGGGATTCTTTAAAAAGTATTTAGGTTAAAAATATTTAATTAATTAAAATATTTACCAGTGTAGCTGCAGAATTATCTAAAATTATCAAAAATCTCTGTATCTAAAATTATTTGTATAAATAATTTTTAAAATATTTTTTGTAGAAATATTCCAATATAATTATAAATATTTATAGACAAACATATGACCTTTCTTTATTTTATTTTCTTATCAAAATATTTAATGAGAAGAATTAATTTATTTAAATTGTTTTTGTACTTGGGGTATTCCTTAAATTTTTTTTCTTTTCATAAAATAATGGTGCCATATATACTATTAACGAATTTATTTTATTAACTAAAATTAATTTCCAAGATAAAGTACATTTATTGGAAGTTTTAAAAACACCACGATTTACTTGGAAAAGATATAAATAAATTTATTCAATTCCTAAAATAAAAATTTTAAAATTTTTTATACAAAAACAATTCACTTTAATAAATATTACTTTAAACAAAAACAAGAATTCCTTACAATTTTATTTTTTAAATAATTTATTGTCTGGAAGTGTAACAAAAATACAAAATATATTTTTCAATTTTTTAAATTTCCCGCAGACATCAAACAACAAATTTCGATTTTTTGTGTTTTCTTTTTACATTTTTTGCTTTACAATTAAAATAATTTTTAAATAATTTTGTGTCAATTATTTTACATTGTAATAAATAAATAAATAAATTTTTATTTTTAATTCGAGTTATGCCGAACAGTGGAAGTTTTTTTTATAAAATTTTGCTGCTGAGAGTTTTAATAAGTTTCAAAAAAATAAACCTAAAAACCCAAAAGCAAAAAATAACAAAAGAAAGTTATGATTTGAGAAAGCAACAACAACACAATTACTTTTTAATTTTTCAATTGCGCGACGTAAATTTTCCTTTGGACGAGTGCAATTTCTTGTATTTTTTTGGTTTGGGCCAAGCCTCTTTTAAATACAACAATAATTGCTTTGGGTTTGCTATAAGGGTATATAAATACAAAATAAATTTTAAAAATTCAAATATATTTTTCAAAAATAAATAATTCTTAAAATAAAAAAAAATTACTTAATTTTTCCTTAAAAATGTTCCTTACCTTTTTTTCCTTTACTTTTTTATTTACTTTTGGTTTATTAAACAATTGTGAAGGTTTGGGATTTGGTGATGGATGGGGTGGTGGAATGGGTGGGATGGGCGGATATGGAGGGTATGGAAGCTATGGAGGAGGGTATGGAGCACCGATGATGATGAAAAAAGTGATGAGTATGTTTTTGTTAAATTTTTATTTAAAATCTTTTTATTTTCTTTGAAGTGCCTTCTTATGGAAGCTACGGTGGTTATGGAAATTATGGAGGAAATTATGGTGGATATAGTCCTCAAATGTATTCCGGATATGGGGGATATGGTGGTGGTTATGGAGGTTACGGGAAATAAAGGAAAAATAAATTCGTTTAATAATTGTGATAAGTATTTCATTAAATTTTAATTAAAACATGAAAATAAAATTTTCTAATTCGAAAAAGTGTTCTAATTATTAGTTAGTATTTTATTAAATATGAATATAAGCTATAAGGATTGAGATAGTAGAAAAAATGAATTAAGTGTGGAGACGATTTCAACATAAATTTACAATGAGCTTAAGGTACCATTCTAATTTAATGTAATTAAAAATATTTATAAAGGCTAAATTAAATACTTTTGCTTTCAATTTTCGAAGAAGTATTTATGTTTTATTTAATTTGTAATTTAATTAGCATATTAATATTTAATTATTTTTTATTAATAGTATTCAAACAACTTTTTGTGTTTTGTTCATTAATATATATTTAGTTAATGTTTTATTTAGATAAAACATTATTTTTAAGCAACCATAAAAAGAAGTACAAATTAATTATAAAAAATAAAGAAAAATAAAAATAAATAAATAAATGCCAGTTATCTAACTATAATATAAATATCCAAATAATTAAAAAAAGTATTTATTTTATTATTTCATTCTAAATAAATTATTTTAATCTGTAAAAAGTGGTGAATAAAAAATAATTATATCCAAAATTATCTACCTCAAATATCATTAATTAAGAATTATTCTCTAATAAAACATTAATTTTAATAAATAATTGAGAATGAGATTTTTTGTAAACTTTTCAACTTAATAGACAAAAATTAAAAAGAAATATTAAATACAAACAAACAAATTTATTTAAATATTTTTTTACATAATTAGATCATTTTGCCTTTTATTTATTTTCTCGTTTAATTTCTAAAAGAAAGCATTGTCTAGGTATATTTATTTCCTTTTAAATGTGCAAATAAACAGGCTAAATAAATGAAAAATTGGCGAAAAATTATGCATTTTGGCACAAAAGCCTTTGGGAACTCGAAAATAATTTTTATTATTTTAAAGAAGACATTCACACTTGTTTTTTTTTTGAATATTTTCGGGTGGCCAATTATTTCTCAATTATTATATGTTTTGTAACTGAGACTTATTTCTTTTCAGGGAAGTATTTTTTTCCGTACAAATACTTTTTGGTTTAATTTTTTTATTTCTTTGCTTTAAATATTACTTTGATATTAGGTAATTTTTAAATTATTTTTTGAATTCTTGATCGAAATTCTTTATAAAATCAGATTCAAAATTTTTCTTTTCTCAGTTTTTCTTGTCACACTTGTTTCTTTAACAAATCATTCGGAACAATTTACCTATGTAATCCAGAAATGAAACAGAATTAGATTAAATTATTTTTCACTAATTATTTCTTAACATCACCTTAAAATAAAAATTAGCACCCATCCGTATTTTGTCTATTATCTTAATAACTGTGTAAATTCATATTAATCTCAAGATGAATTAATTCCTCATGTGTTGGATCTCATCAAATGTGCCATTCTTTTCTACAAATAATTCGTCCTCATGCCGCCGTGCTTTTTATATTAATAGAGCAAATAATGGCACAATAAATTCAACATCCTCTGTTGCTTTCTCGGCACGTTCAATGGAGAGAGGAAATAGTGGTGAAGGTTCTCCTTCGATTTGTGAGGTTGTTAATAGCTCTCCAAATGCATCTGTTCGTGTTATGTTTAGGCAAAGATCGAGGAGATTTTTTTGTTCTTCTGAAGTAACTAAATAATTAAATTTATTTAAAATTATTTTCTTAATTGTTAAAGGTAGATGATGAAAATTTTATTGTAGGAAGGAATGGTTATTTTTGTTGTTCTCTTCGAATGGTGGCATTTATTCTAATGCCAATATTGCCCGTTATTGTTTTCCTTCTTACTTATTTTCTAATACCTACAAAACAGGCTCGCGAGCAAGATCCATTTATCAGGCAAAAATATAATTACTACTGGGGCTTGAAAAATATGGAACTTTTTTTTCCAGCTTTACTGATTAGATTTTTAAATAAAAATTTAGAACAATACCTGAGGATCCATTAATTCGTCTACCTACTGATGTAATCCCTATCCATTATGAATTACATTTAAAAATATATCTGCCCTACAAAAATGGAATTGATTATGTGGATAGAAACTTTACTTTTGATGGAAATCTTCGTTTACATTTACTCTGTCGGCAAACAACAAATGTTTTATTATTACATTCAAAATCATTAGAAATTGATTATGATAAAGCTACAATTTGGATGGGTGGAGGAACCACTAGATTAGAAGGGCCGAGAATAATTGGTTGGAAAGAATTAGCAGGACGGAATGACCTTTTGGAAATGAGATTAGATAGAGCTTTATTGCCTGGAAGAAATTATATTTTGGTTACAATATGAAGATTTTTATTTCAAATAATTTTATAGGAGTTGGGATATAAAGCAAAGATTGGGAAAAACTCACAGGAAGGTGGACTTTATCAAAGTCATTATTTAAATGGAGCAAATGGAGAAAATAGGTGACGAATAAATGTTAATTAATTAACATAAATGTGTATTTAAAAAGATATATAGCTGCAACACAAATGCAGCCATTGGATGCACGAAAAATGTTGCCATGTTTTGATGAACCTAGTTTTAAGGCGGAATTTTCTATATCAGTCCAACATCCAGATGGCACTGTAGCACTATCAAATGCACCCATTGAACATACAAGAAATGTTGAAAGGTTGAGGATAGAAATTTTAGAATAATAATTAAATTTAATAAAGAGGATGGACACTTTCATTATTTGAAAAAACCCCAAAAATGGCCACATATTTATTGGCACTTGTTATTAGCGACTTTCAATATCGAGAAGCATCTTATAATAAAATTAAAGTTTTAAATTAATTCTATATTAAATAAATATTTATATTTAAAGATAAGAGTTTGGTCACAAGCTTCAAAACTTGATTATACTTCTCATGCCCTAGAAGTTTCTGTTAGATCTTTAAAATATTTTGAAGATTATTTTGGAATTAAATATCCACTCAAAAAACTTGGTGAATTTTAATCGATGTTTTTTTCATTTGAGAAAAAATATAGATGATTAGGACATTTTATAATTAGATATATTTGGCGTTCCTGCTCTTCGTGTAGCTGCAATGGAGAATTGGGGCTTAATCATATGTCGTCAACAGAATCTATTATATATAGAAGGTGTTCAGGCACGTAGAGATAAACAATTTGTTACTGATGTTTTGGCACATGAAATTGCACATATGGCACGTTTTAAATATTTAAAAAATAATTTTAAAATTCAGTGGTTTGGGGATTTGGTTACAATGGAATGGTGGGATGATTTATGGCTGAATGAGGGATTTGCGACAATAATGGGCATGAAGGTTGTGAATGTTATGTCTAATTTACAAATTACTTTGCTTTTAAGGCAGCAGATTATGCAGAGAATTCAACATCAAGAACGGTGATTACCCAACTTAAATTATAATAGGAAAAAGATATTCTTGAGTCGCTGGACAAGTTCGATTAAAAATAGGGGATGAATTATCTTCTATTAAATGAAAACCGTTTACTACTTGTTTAATTCATTAATTGATTTAAAGAGTCAACTTTTCTATGAACATACAGTCAAGGCATTCCGTTTTGATCAAGTTGCCCATCAAGCACATGCTTTGAGCTATAAAATATCCTCTGTTCGTGAAGTTGCCAGACGTTTTGATAGAATTACTTATTTAGTAATTTTAAATACCTGTTTCTTAATAAGAAATATTTTTTTAGAAAGCAGCAGCTGTATTAAGAATGGTTGAACATACTGTTGGAGAAAATATTTTTAGAGAAGGTCTTCGATCTTTTCTTCGAAATTATAAATTTAAAAATGCCCGTTCTGATGATCTTATTAGAGTATTAAGGCATAAATATATTTATTATTTATTTTTTACAATTTTACTTAAAATTCTAGTGCTGTCGAAACTAACGGAAAAAGCCGTGTTTTTTCAATTGTTAATTTTTCATTGAGTGAAGTAAATATTTTTAATTTAAAATAATTTTAAAAAAATTAATTTCTAATTAATTTTCAGTTTATGGATAGCTGGACATATCAAACAGGATTTCCTCTTATACAATTAATTGCTTTAAATTCGACATCAGTTATAGCTAGTCAAGTACAATTCTTTTATTTACAAGAGCCAAGTTCAAATCCTTCTTCGTGGAAAGTTCCATTATTTATTAATGGAAATAATACAAATAATGGAAGTGAAGATGTTCTTATTCTTGAAAGAGATTCTGGTAACAGTATAAGATTATTTCTCAAATTTAATAAAATTATTTAAAATCATTAATTAATATTCGCCTATTAATAAAAAATGGATGGTTATAAACAATTAATTAATTTTAGTTATTTTGCCTCGTTATCAGATTGTCGACCCAAAAGCACACGGTTATTATCGTATCCAATATGATCCCGAAACCTATGAAAATATTATTTGTACATTATTCACTAACATGACTTTTATTAATGTAAAATTAATTTTAATTATTTAAAATAATTTTTGAAAATAAAAAGTTGGCAAGTCGTGCTCGCCTTTTAGAAGATGCATTTACAATAGCTAGAACTGGATTAATATCATTTGAATTAGCATTTAGAATGAGTGAATATTTGGTAGAAGAAAAGGAATATTTGCCATTACTTGTCTTTAATAATCATTTACAACATTTGCTTCTTTTACTTAGAAATCATAATAAATCGTATTTAATTAGGGTATATTTTTGGATTTTTAAAATTAAAAAAATTATTTTTAGTCATTTATTTTGGAAATGTTAGAGACACAATTTCACCGACTTTTTTCTCCACATTTTATTAATAATGCTGATATTAGCGAGTAATTTATTTAAATTATTTTCTTTAATTTATTAATTTAATTTTTTAAGCACATTAAGAGAATTTGCTATGGTTCAACTTTGCCAATGGAATTATCCTCCATGTATTGGACATTCCTTGAGAGAGTTCTCTAGAGTTAGGTTTGCCTGTCGTGATCGAAAAATGAGTGACCAACAGTGTAATAAGTGAGTGATGTTTTTGTGAAATTGAAACAGAGATAAATTAAAGTGAAAATCTAGTTTATGATAAAGCTACAAAAACTAAACAAAGCTAATAAAGCTGCGTCAATTTTCCCAATTTTCTTAATTTAAGATAAATAATATTTTTTTTATAAATTTTCAGAATTCCCCCAGAATTACGCGGACCAGTTTATAGGTTTGTTTTTGTCTAAAACTGTTTTCAAAATAGGTAAATTTCTTAGCACAGCTATTCGGCATGGAAATATTGATGACTTTGATTTTCTTTGGAGTAAATATTTAATTGAAGAATATGATTCAGAAAGGGGTCGAATACTTTCTGGCCTCGTTGGCACAACAGATATTAAACTTGTTGAATTGTAAAAGAAAAGGAATTATTTAAATAAAAAAAATTTTTCAAGATCATTAAATAGATTTATTGAAAATATAAGAAATACAACATTAATTGGTTTTAATCCTGAAGATTTTTATGCTTTTCTTTTAAAATTTGTTAGGTTTTTATCATGAGAATTTTTTTAAATTAATTATTTTATTTTAGATCCCCGATACTTAATGATGTTGTTGATAGCATGAAAAGAAATTTTAAAATGTTTACTAATAAGTAAAAAAATTATTTTTTATTAATATATAAACAAAATTAACTTTTCCTAAAGTAAATAGAATCCCGTTAATATGTAACCCTTGGGACCGAATTAGTGCGACGTATGAATGAGACCGAGTTGAGTTGGGGAAACGTATTGGCGAAATTCCATTGTATTGTTAGGTATAACGTATTTTCTCCGTTAATTAGTCTCTCTGGAATAACTAACCCTATAGAGAGCAGATTTTGTGTTTCACCTTTGATTTTTGAGTCACTCTCTTCGTCATACTAGTTGGTTTTAATCCTGGAGTGAAGAGTGTTTTTACCCAAATATTTTTTAACCAAAATAATTATTTGAAGGTTTTATTTATCCCTTATTATTTTAAAAATAAAAAATTTATTTCTATTTAAACTTCCTTAAACAAAATAGTAAATATTTTTTCCAATAGAATTCCAAATACTTTATTAATGAAAGTTATTCTGACATTTATTACTAAATGGATGAATTCAGAAAGTGATTTAGCTGAGGTAATCTTTTTGATTAATTAATTGTTATTTTTTCTAGTTAAAAGAATTTGAAATTCAACATAAAAAAGAATTAACGGAACTTCGTCTTCTTGATTATTTACATGAACAAATAACAGAGATTAGGGCAAATGAAGATTTTGTAGATAAATATGCTCAAACTATAATATCTTATTTAGAGAAAAGAAAAGACGAAAGAAATTTGGAAAAACAAAAAATTAACAAATGTCAACCTCTCATAAATTAAACATAAAAATTGCCAAAAAATTTTTTATTAAAATTTATTTTAGCCTAAATATAAATAAAAATTTCTAAAAAATATTTATCTAAAATAATATTCCATAGCAACATAAATACATATATCCTTTTATTTTTGTTTTTATATTTCCGTCACAGTATCCATCATACTTTTAACTACTTTTTGTCATCTGTTATTTATTCCTGATTTTTTATTCATATACTAGTGTGCAGACTGCTGCGCATTCTATGTAGAAACTTGAAAGTTTAGAAAAATGCCCTCTAAAAAGGCCAACAGGTGCTACATATTTTAGTAGATATTTATTTGCAGAAAATATTGAGAATCTTAAATTAGGTGTAAATATTTCTTTTTCATCGGATTGCTTAAAATACTTTTTTAATTTTGTCTTAAAAATTATTTTTAGACCGTCGCGGAAATATAAAAATTAAAAAAATACTTTTAATAATTTTTAAATTTTTCCAATCGGCTACTTGAAAATAAGAGAAATATTAATTTTTATTAAAACTTAAACTATACAAACCAATTATTTTTTGTTTTATATTAAATAATTATATTTTTGTTTTATTTATTTTCTGATTAGAAGCAATGATGGATTAGTCAAAATGATCATGCCTGCCATTTTTTACATCCTTTAGGGATTGTAAATAAAATAGCCATTAATGATCGATGATGACTATTTTGTACTTAAATATTTTTTAAGAATTAAATAAGGTTTTATGTATAGTAATAATTAGAAATCGGACGTCTCATAATTGAGATTTTTGTTCGTGATTCGTCTTGGTCCGATCTCAAGTAGTAATAATTATTATTATTTCATGGTCTTTATTTTCTTTTAATTATTAATTCAATAATAAAGAAATCTTTATTATAGATACGAAATACGAGAATTATTTAGTGAATTTATTTGGGCTCTGTACTAATATTTCCTTTTGATGTTTAATGAAATTATTTTCATTTAATTGTTTCCCATTGTCATTCCAAAAACTTTGTTTAAAAATAACATAAAAATCCCTTAGATATTTTTGGCTTTTCTTTCTTTTATTTTCTTTATTAAAGTCAACATTTATTCTTTTTAATCACTCAATCTGAAAGGCCATCAATTGGCAGGCAAAACATAAATAAATATATATTGGATTAAGTAAATGTTATTGAAAGGCTACCACCATTTTTTTATTATTTTCCCTCGATCAGCGGTAAAACCAATTCAAAATTAAACCTTCCTTCTTCGCTCCTTCCCCTTTTTATTTCTTTTCCTTTTAATTTTAAGGACTTCCTCATGTTTGTTGTTTTAATTTCCCCTACAACCAAATATTTAGCTTTTTATTTCCTCAATAAATTTTATCCAGATGCCTGATGGCCTTTCGAATAAAAACAAACTTCAAATATTTTCTACGGTCATTTAATATTTTACTATAATAAATGATTGAATTTACTATATCAAAATATTGTAAATTTATATATACCTATTCTTATATTTTTTTCATTACATAAGTACAAATAATACATTATTAACATTAACTCGAAATTTGGGTTCCACAGATAATAAAACTAAGTAAACCTTCAGACTTCTAATTTTAAAGAGATGTGTAATTTTCTTCAAAAAATAATATTTAAAATTATTTTTTCTTGATTTTATATTTACAAAATAAAAATTTCTAATAAAAAATTGACATAATTTTCCTATATTTTATTACCGTATTTCCTATATTAGAGCCCCACTCTTTGTTAGAGCCCCACCCTCTAATACAGCCCCACTTTGGAGGATAGTTGAAAAATAGAGCCCCACCCTCAATTAGAGCCCCACCCCAAATACAGCCCCACCTAAAAAATATTGGAGGAAAAAATATCAGAATAACTTTTAAGATGTATGTATTAAGAGAGTTAAGGAAATAAAGGGGGATATCTATGATTTCGTGATCATTGAGGAGGAGGGATCATGGGGATTAGGGATGAAAATGAGGGATTAATCCCGTTATCCGTCAAAATACTCTAATATCGCCTATATTCCTCTAAATTCCTCCTATTACCTCCAAAATCTAATCATTTTATAAAGGGTTGCAATCGTGTTAGGCACTTGATGATAATTCGCGAGATTATTAGAGATCTATTAGATATCTAATCAGTGATATCTAACCAAAATTTCTCTGGAACCGATTTCAGTTACGTAACTGCTATTTGAATTTCTTCAGTTCCAGTTCTGGAACCTGTTCCAAAGCTTTATCAAACAAATCCCTTCATATGCCTCCTAATACCCCTAGTCCAGAATATCCCTCATAATCCCTCTAAATCGCTCAATATAAACTTAATCCTCTGATATTCCCCATAATCCCTTAAAATCCATTTTTATCCCTCTAATCCATCAATGTCAAATAAAAGTTCCATAATATTTCCTTTAATCCGTCCAAATCTACCCATATTTAATAATTAATCTTACTCTCATTGAACTATTGGGACTATTTTGTAATTCATTGCTTAAAAAGTTTTGGTTTTTCTTGAAAAATCGAAAAATATAGATTCTCTTTCGATATTTTGCGGCTTTATCGACCAAACCCTCCGACTTATCTCTAGTTGCAATGGATATAATAAATGGGATTCTATCTCAAAAGAGGGTTGAAAAATAGAGCCCCACCCTCAATTAGAGCCCCACCCTTTAATACAGCCCCACCTTGGAGGATAGTTGAAAATTAGAGCCCCATGGGGCTCTAATATAGGAAATACGGTATCTAAGAGAATTAAAAAAATATTATTTATACAGACAAAACTATCTACATGTAATATGTAATTTCCCATGTCAATCCTCCCAAAAAGCTTGCGCCCTACAATATACATAACCTTCAATAAGAAATGAATGATTTTTTGCTAAAACAAATAATAATAATTCTGAAATTCTAGATATAAATATTTATTTTTTTATTTCAGTAAATACATTTTATTGTGTTTTTTGACTATGCCAATCATTATTTGGTTACTCATTAAAAATATTGTGTATTAAAATTAAACCATAAATTTGAGATTCTTGCGCAACCTTGCAGTAGTAAAAAATATATTATACTTATAATTTTATTGAAAATTTGTAAATATTTTTTTTTAATTTTCTAAAAATAATTTATTTATTTATTCACATTTCTTCAAAATATTTATTTTTTTTCCCTTTAATTTTAATTTTGGAGTCGAATAACTTTCTGGGAAAAAGTTTTGTTATTTTTACTAATTCCAGTTTAGTAGTTTTCGTTCAAAAACAAAAATAACCTCCCACCCCTTTGAGAGTTCTTGGGTAATGTAAACACTTTTTTTATTGTTTTAGAGCATTTGCACGCGAACTACAGCTTTTTCTCCTAACAATTTTTATTTTTATTCAAATTTTTTTTACTAATTTTTTCTATTCTGTAAAAAAATAAAGCAAAAATACTAAAAAAATTAGTAATTTTAATTTTTTAAGAAAATTAATTTTCGTTTAAAATTCTGAACTTTAAAAAATATTTGGCGAATTTTATCCAATCCTTTTACTATTCCAATTTGATAGTTTACATTTTTCATTAGTCATAATTTTCCTACAAAAAAATATTTTAAAAATTTATAAAAGCTCTAAAAAATATCTGTATTTAAATAACACAGTTAACAAATAAAATGTTTTTTGATTATTTTTTGCCTTTCCTTTTTTTGCAATTTTTCAATTACAACAAATTATCAATTCAATCAACAAATTTACAAGAAGAATGGCTAATACCCACAAAAGCATCTTTAAAAACAGCAGAATTGAAATTTATGAAAAAACTTTTTGAAAACAGTAATTACAAAAATAATGCCGTTTATGGATATGAACCTAAAGTTTTAAAAAAAGGTTTAAAATATTTAATTATTTAAATTTATTTTTAATTTAATAAATTTTATTTTACCGTATTCCTATAATAATCTAAATACTCGCGCGAATTGTTTATTTATTCATTTTCTCCTTTTTTGGGGGAATAATAAACAATTGACCAATGGCCAGATTTCTTTTTATTGTTCTGTTTTAATATTTCTGTTACTTATTTTGAGTAAATAAACATAAAACGGTTGAGCGATTTTAGGGGTATATGGTATTTATTTTTAATAATTTATTTGAAAATAAAGGAAAAAAGAAAAAATAATTTCTTCCAAAATTTATAAAAAAATAATGTTTTTTAATTAATTATTGGGCAATCTTGAGGGAATTAAAAAAAAGTTTATTAAATTAAGGAGAAACTAATTGCAGAAATGATGAAAATGTAGAAGAGGAATTTGTTTTAGAATTTGAAATAAATGGAATTAATGGAAAGGATAAAGTAAATAAATTAAAGAATTAATAAATTAAAATATTAATTTTTAATTTTTTTAGTTGGTAGATGCTCAACTTCAATTACTTTTACCTGAAACAAAAAATCATCAACAACAAATTGCCAAACATAAATACCGTCATAACTCTATTTTTAAACACAACAAAATTTCAAAACATTTAAAACAATTTAAAATTAATTATTTCGATATATTTGTGTTTTTTGGGAGCAATTGTAGTAAAATTGAAAAATTAAAATTACAAAAAATATTGCCAGTAGAGGATGAAAATAATTTTAATTTAAATAATTGGTTTATATTTAATGTTAGAGAAATAATTGAAAGAAATTTAAAAGAAAATAAATTTAATTTAATTATTAAAATTAAACAGGTAATTTTATTTTTAAATTTTATCGAAAAAATATTTTTTTAATTAAAAAAGAATAATCTAAAAATCAAAAAACTTGCAAACTTTGCACATTCTCATGGACCATTTCTTGTAGTTTATACAGAAAATAATGAAATTATTGAAGATGAGAATACTAAAAATAATAAAAGAATTAAAAGAGACATATTTAATTCAAAAGGTGATAAATAGATTTAAAATAATTATTAATTAATTAAAATAGAAGACAATAATCTCCAAATCCAAGAACATATGGATGCAGTAAGAAGACAAGCAGAATATTTTGCTTATGGAATGGCTCTTCCAACGGAACAATTACCACAAATTGAGGAAAATAATTACTTAGTAAAACCTATTCAAAATATTCCAAATAAATTTGAAAATACTAAATTTGCATTAAGACGACGAAAATTGGTTGAGTGGAATTTTTAGAAAATTATTCTGTATTTTTAATATTTTAGAAGAATAGAAGAAAAATTAAACAAAAATTGTCTCGGAAATCGTCTTTTGATGCGAATGATCCAATGCTCGGATTTGGAACAAATAAATCACCTTGGGAACGTTCAATTAAAGGAAACAAATTCGGAAATTCTTTAAACGATTTTAAAGAGTTAGAAGAAAATGAAAGAGATGGGATGATGATGAATAAACACGAGAAGAATGATAAGGAAATTAATATGGGAATTAAAAGTAATGGTGCTGGTGGGAGTATAATAAAGGTGGGTGTTTTAACTTTTTTAAAAATTGTTATGATAATTGAGAATTCAAATGACTTTTAATTGAACAGTTACTTTCTGAACGAAGATAAACCCTTATCTTCTATGAGTCCCGAATTGTAGTATTACACAAATGTTACATCAGACTGAAAATTTGCCCGAAACTTAACCAAATGTTTCAAAAAAATTTAAAAATTAAATCAACTAGGCAAATCATTTTGACTAGGATAAATCCATTTATATGATTAAGGAATAAATTCACCATCACGCTATACTCTACATATATTACACATATATGTATACATATTAACTATTTAGCTTAATCCTAATTTACTGCAGTAATTAAACATTTAAAGAAATGTTCACGTCACAATCTCACAGTTGACATTAGAGATTTGGGCTTAGATGAACGAATTGTTGCCCCAAAAAGTTTTGAGGCTGGATATTGTGCTGGATCATGTGAATATCCTCTTGATAGAGTATTATTTTTAATTAAAATTTTAAAATTAAAATTTTTTGAAAATTTTTTAGAGCCTTCGGCCTTCGAATCACGCAATATTTCAATCTTTAATTGTTAAATTACAATCTATAACAAACAATAATATTACTACAGGACAAAATACACCCTCAGTTTGCTGTGCACCTGACAAATTTGATTCGTTAACAATGCTTTACTTTAACGAGAATGGAAATTTAGTTTTAAAAAATTTCCCAAGAATGATAGTTTTGCAATGTGGATGTATTTAAATTTTCATTTAAATTCAATTAATGTAAATTTATTTAAATACTGCCATACTACAAAACTTGAATTACAGAGATGATGAATTACAGAGATGGGAATTAAAGGTAATGGTGATGGTGGGAGTTGCACCAAAATTTACCAAGTCTTTCCCAAGTCTCGAATCGAGCAGAAAATCTTTTTTACACGTTTCACAAATAGAATGGCATGTTATTGTAATTCAAGTTTTGCAGTGAGATTCTTAACAAAAACCATTTCAGTTGCTAATTAATAAATTATCCATAGAGAATTTTTTTTCAATTTATAAGGTTTAAAATTAAGAATTATTTCGAAATATCCAGGAAATTAAAATAAACCATACATACTACTCCAAATTAATATTTATTTTGTCAAAAAATTATTTTAAAATAGGATTAAATCCATCAATCTGATTTAGGTAATATGAGCAAAAAATCAAAAGGAATTGTTTTAAATTCCCTAATTTAAACGGAAGGAAAAAAACAAAAATTCCATTTGTAAAATTTCATTATTTATTTTCCCTCTCTCCTCATCAACCTTTTTGTTTCTTTGCAATTTCTTGTACTTCTTCTTCTGTTCTGTTTTTACATTGGGTTGAAAGAAATTTACGAACAGATTTTGAAATAGCCCCATCAGCCTTTCTTGATTTTGAAAATATTTCTAAATGAGGCTTTCCTTTCCAAATAAGTCCGAATCTTTTAAAAAAGAATTAGAAATAAATTTAAAGAAAACAAAATTACCGGAAATTTGGGTCATTCCGTACAAGGAAAAGTTGAATTTTACAGAGGCAATCGTGGACCTAAATTAACAAAGAAATTCAACTTTGGGAGATTATACAAAAATCTTGCCTTGCTAAGAACGGCGTAAGGTAGAGGTTTCATCAATTTTGAAATGTCATTTAATCCCTAAAAGTTGTTAATTTTAAACAAAATATTCTCAAATGATTATATTTTCACATAAATAGCTGGTTTTGTGAAGTCTCCATTCCCTTTCCAAAATCCAATCATTTCCTGGTCGGCACAAGTAAAAAACATTTGTGCCCATGTAAAGAAAGGAAAACCACCTCCGTGTGGATAGGTTGTTAATAATTGTAATGGTAAATTATCAGGCACATTTCCAAAATTTATATAGCCAATAGCCTTAAATATTTAATTATTTCTAAATTGGAAATCTTTTTTTAAATGAAATTATTTAAATTTTGGATAGAAATACAAATTATTTTATCTCAAAATTTTCTGTTATTTCAAATTCAGGATAAATTGGATTAGCTATTTAATAACTGACTTTATTATCAGCAAACTCTGTTTTCTCAGGTAGCTGATCAGTATCTTCAAATATTTCACTAAAATATAAATCAAAAATTATATTAAAATCATCACTAGAAACCCACGCTTTAGCTCCAGCAAAATCAGCACATTCAACCTCATATCTAACTAGAATTTTAAGCGTTCCAAACTGATAACTAGTTAACTGAAAGAATGGCCCAGAACAATGTTTAGAACGAAATTTTGTCATTTTCGCTTTCATTGATTGATCATAGGTTAAATGACCAATCTTTTAAATATTCATTAATTAAAATTATTTAATAATTAATAACTTCCATCAAGTCTGAAGCTTCCATACGACTGAGTAAAACTGTTTTGCCAACACGTTCACAATCAATTCGAAATAGTCCGTCACCAGCCTCTTGGCCAAATGCAAAAAGTTTTTGAAGGTTAATTGCATCTAAATAGTATTTTTGGGAAAATATTTTTTTGAAAATTTTAATGAGTAATAAGTATTTGGAAATATAATATAATCTTAAGCTATGCAAGAAATCTATTAATTATCAAAAAACTTTTTTAATTATTATTTTATGGGAAAAATGAAAATAATTTTACAATTTTTGCTCAGTCGATGAAATTTTTGAACGGAAAATAGAATTTTTTGAAAACTAATCCTATTTTTTCCCGGTTTTAAACCTATTTTTCCATTTTTGTCATACATTTTTAGCAACTTATTTAGGTACCTATTTTAAGATTTTTACAGCCTATAAATCCAATCCCTAGTAGGCTTTCAAATGATATAAAATTCATTCGGGTTGTATCGAGCATAAAAAAGTTAAAGCCTAACAAATTCAGAAAAGGTGAAGAAAACGTAAATTCGGGGATACAAACGCTCAGTGCCGATTATAATTTAGAATATAATTTAGATTATTCCTACCTGTTATTATATCGTAATCATCAAAATTAATCTACAAAATAAATTTATCTAAATCAAATTAAAATCAAAATTACTTCAGTTTTCTTTTTATTATTAGCAGAACATAATTTTGCTGCTAATATAGCCGCATCCAATTGCCCATCTTTGACTTTCATATGATTAACGTTGTAAATAACTACACCGTGATCTTGGCGTAATTTACCTCCGGGCCAATAAAAAGATTCTAATGGCATCCCAGGAATCTAAAATTAATTGGAAATAGCCTTTAAATTAAATTTAAATATTTTTTGAATTTAAATATTATTTTTAAAAAACAAGGTAATTAAATACAAATTATTTTTCTTTAAATAAAAGTAACCCGCCAAAATGACGGGGTCATCCTCCTCGAGCCTCCATTGATAAGAGCCTATTCTTTCAACATTTTTAGTTGATGATGCTCCACTTTTCCCGCTTAAATTAACGAGTGGTAATAATCCATACGGCTCTTCATCTAATCCGTCGAAAAGCCAAAAACCTTCAACTTCATCATTTTGGTGGTTTTGAGCTGAAGCCATTTTCAGCTTTTACTTAAAAATAAATTAAAGTTTAAAATTTATTTTTAAATGCCTAAGTTAAAATATATATAAATTATAAAAATTTTAAAGTAAAAATTTGACAAATCCTCTCAATAAATAGTCAATATCACCAAATATTCATGGGATATCAAGCTATATTTCTTAAAGAATTGAGCTAAAATGTTTAAAATATACTAAGAACAGGCTGGATATATTGATCGATTTCTGTCGATTGGATCACTCTCCTTAGGCAATTCCCAATAATTGAAAGGAAGTTAAGTAACTTAAATTCAAGCATTTGTGTTTGTTGGATATTTTATTTTTAAACATTATAAAGGCTTTGGAAAAGATATATTTATAGGGAATTTATAGAAAATTAAAACAATTTACTAATGTTATTTTTACAGTTAGAGGATATTTGGTATAACTCAAACTCTAAATTTAAAAATAAGTTAAAACTAAATCAATCATTATTTCTTATCTTTATATTATCAATTAATTAAAAATATTATCCAAATATTTAATTATTTTCATTAATTTTATAAGCAAAATTAATTTTAAAGCAGAACATAAGGAATGATTTAATGAATCAATTATTAGAAAAGATTCTTTTATTCCAAATAACTGAGATAATTTTTTACATCTCTTCTTGACAGTTTGTCGAGCATTGGTTAAATCTAAATATGAAAAGTTAAAAAAAAGCTAAATATAAACATAAAAATCTGATCAATGAAAACATTTCGTCAAAAAAAGAAGTTATCGATATTCAACCCCAATATTTTTTCTACAAATTTGATTAAAGAATTTACCTCATTTATTTTGATTAGCATGGCCGCCAACTTGGAATCCTGCATTTGGACCTGCATTAGTCCACGGAGTTCCATCAGCTTGATGACCAGCATTTGGCCCTGCGTTTGACCAAGGTTGACCTCCGGCTTTATTTCCACCACCTCCTCCAGCAGCAGCTTTACCTCCTCCACCACCACCACCACTGCTTTTACTTCCGCCATTTCCACTTCCCTTTCCTCCTCCGCCACTTCCGCCTTTACCTCCACCACCACCTCCACTACCGCCTCCTTTGCCCATTTTTGTCAAATAAATATTAATATGTAGCTAAATAAACTTAAATTAAATTTGTAATTAAATTATTGAATGAAAATTTTGAAAAATCTATTTCAAGCAGTAGATAAATTTAAACCAAAAAATATAAAGGGAAATAAAAAATAAAAATAAATGACAAAAATATTGGCGAAGGAAAATAAATATTAAAAAATATTATTCACACCGAACACAATTTTGTTTACAAAGAACTTCCAGTGCATTTCTGTTTACATTTATTTTGTTATTGTGAATAATAGTAAATAAATATCAAAAATGTATAAAAAATCTGGTGACCGATTAAAATAAAAATATTTTTTAAGCTTTAATAAAGTTGAATATTTTAGTTACAAAGAAATTTTTGTTTACAGCTTTCATCCATAACATTCACAAAAAATAATCGAAGAAACATATATCGTTTATCTTTGTGTATATCTGTATGTAAAAGTGCAAATTTGCCAAAACGAATAAAACGATCAAAAAATTGAAAGAAACGTTCGTAGGTGTAATTAACATTTAATTCCTTAAAAATTACTAATTATTTTTTTAAATTATAATTTAAATTTTAACATTTGGATGATGTATTTCCATATTTAATTGACATATTGGAATTGGGAAATATTTGGAATGTTCTGTAAAATTAAAGAAAAATATATTCTTTAGAAATGCCAAATACTTACCAACAAATTTTTCCAAAATTCCAAATTCAGCCCCTTCAACATCAATAAGCATTAAATCAACAGGTTCTGTTTTTTGATATTTTTTTCTTAAAAATTCGATTATTCCAATTTGCGGCACCATTCTACGGTTAACGCCCTTCTTTACAACATCTTATAATATTTAATTGCTTCACAAAAAATTTATCTTTTTACCTTTCTCCCAAACATTTATTAATGTTTTGTCTAAAGATTCCCCTCCAATTGCTGCTTCCAAAAATGTTCCGCCCAATTCTTTTTTAACCAAATCAGAATTAATATCAGAAGAAGGATCTACAGCATAAAATCGACATTCTGGATAAATTTTGCTTAAATTTCTTTCTGCCCAAATTGAATGTCCAACTCCTAAATAATTTATCGAAAATTAAATTTTTAAATTTTAGAGATTAGATTTAGTAATTCTTCTCATAAATTAGAATTAAAAAAATATAATTTAAATTTTGTATATTACAATTTAATTTAACCTAAAGTTATAACGTTGCATTGTAAAGGTCTTTTGATATTATTCGAAAATTTTATAAAATATTTTTGTTCTTCATCATCTGACTGTAATCTAAATATTTCCATTTTTTCAAATTCTTTGTTCCAGATTTCCTAATAAATTTTAAAATTAAATATTAAAATTTAAATTCAAATAAATACATTAAAATGTCTAGGAATTAATTCCCAAGTTGCCTTAACATTTATTTTTCCATTTATTTGTTTTATTATTGGCATCCCTTCTTTTTGTAAGGCTAAGGATTTTTTAAATAAAATATTTTGGGTAAAACATTCTTTTATTTTATTATTTTTTTGTTGTATTAATTTATTTAAATTTTTTTCGTGGATAACTTTCCACCAAGGTAAATCCAAAAAATAAGCATTTAAATTAATTAAAAAAGAACAAATAAAAATTGAAATAGGCAATAATATTATAATAATAAATTTAATTTGAGAAATATTAAATATTCTTGAAGAAATTAAAAACATTTTTATTTAAATTTATTTTTAAGTAAAATATTTTGAATATAAATATTGGAAAAATAATTAGTACAGATTTATAAAGATTGCGATTTTAGATTACAAAATTTATTAAAGATCAATTGAGGTCAAATAATTAATTATTTGTCCTTTTATTTAAAAATAAAAAATAGTACCTATTTATTTTACAAAATATAACAACAATTTTTATTAAAATTCAATTAATCTACTCTTGTTTTGTTAATTAGTGTTCGGTAATATCACGATACCTCTCGATATTATTGTGATATTTTCAGATTCTTTAATCTCATTCAATATCGACATAATATCGATATCGAATTTTGAAAACCCACATTTACCGAACACTAATCAGTATCAATATCTCAAAAAATTTTTTATTAATTTTTTACAATCTTTTCAATAATAATATTTTTCATCAGCAGAATACCTAACCAAATGTTCAATATAAGGAGTAGGTAATCTTCGGGCACAAAATTTTTTCTGATGTGTCCAATAATGGCATTTATAAATATCTCGTAAAATAGACAGTGAAGGGGAATTTCTTTTATTTTTTATTTCTTCATTATCTTCCTCAATTTTTTCGCTTAAAATATTTAAATAAAATTAAAATATTTCTTAAAAATAATTACACAAAAAATCCAATTTTGCGGGCAGCTTGTGGTCTTTCCTTTTTTCTTCTTCTAATGGCCATACTTTGCTTTAATTGACGCCAACTTTTTGGCTTTTCTTGCTTTGATATTATACTAATTTTTTGTGATGAAGTTACTAAACGAAATGATGTTGACATTTTTATAGATATCATTCTTTTTAATCTACTTCTAGCTGTTACAATGTCTGCATTATATGCCATAAATTCAAGAATTAGTACTTAATTTGTTAAAATATTAAAAAAACATTTTTTAAAGAATTTTACAATTAATACAAGCTGAAAATATTGCCAATCCAAAAAGTAAAAATATTAAAGTAAAAAGAACATATCCAGGTTCTTTCATTAATCTTTCATTGGTTTGGGCTGGGACAAAGTCTCCAAAACCAATTGTTGAGACTATATTAAATATACATATTTATTTATAATTAAACACTAACGACTAATCATGCAATAATATGCAGAATCAAAAATTGACCAACTTTCTTGCTTGTGAAATACCCCGGCTTAAATAAAATTATTTTGCCTAAATTAATTTTTTAAAATTAAAACTTGCAACTGCAATTGTAATACATCCAATAGAGAAAGAAACAAACAATAAATGTCTGGACTTTATTTGCCATTTACTTAACCATTTTTTGTTTTTAAATAAACATTTTTGTATTTGCACAAGCAAAGTTTTAATAATATGATTAATACGTTCACCAACCTTAAATTTGTGTAATAGTAAGGGAATTTAGAATTTTTTTATTTTATTTTTGGCACAAACAATAAATCAACTAATCCTAAATCTAGTTCGGGAAAACTGTATATGGTTAATAACGTCGATGTAGGAAAGGCACCGAGAAGGAATGCTTATTCCTTGATAATCTTCGGCTAAATCGTATTTGCAAGATCACGAGTGCGTAATTTTTCAAAAATTTTTGAGTGATTGTATCCCATGGAATTTTTAGGTTTATCTCGCACACGCAAATCCAAAAAATTCGAGTCGACTCCTAATATTATACATAACTTAATCTAAATAACAGCAATAAACTTAAATATATTTACCGATTGAAATGTAACCAATCCCAAGGGAATTCCACCCAATGCATAAACCATACAAAATAAACGACCGGCTCTTGTATTCGGAGTTGAATGTCCATAACCTATTGTTGATATCACTACTGTACAAAAATATAATGACCCTAGAAATTGCCATTGACGGCCAGCAGAAAAAGGAATTGACTGGACAACAATATTTTCTAATTGAGCATAATCCCTTATGGTACAATGTTTAAATTTAATGAATTTTTCTATTAATACTTTTTAGAAAATTTATATTTTTGTTGCATTAATCTTCTTTTTGCCGTTACTTCTTGTCTAGATCTTTCATCCTCTTCATATTCAAATAAACTAAATATTATAGCACCAGCTACTAAATAAAGAAAAGTAACTCCCATAAGTAATAATGAACGGCGAGTTTGGCCACTTTTTTTGTCAGAAAGGAGTGGAAACATTCTGGAGCTAATTGAAGATCTTGGTAAGAACATTAATAGGTAATTTAATAAATAATTAGGGACCACCGAAATATGGTTCGACAAGAAAGGAATTTTTAAAAATTAATATGTATTTTTTTATTTGCTGTCAACCAAATGTCAAGCATTTATTCTTTTTTTCCTATTTTACCGGAAAACAAACAAAATGTAAAATAAGTAACTGCTAATTTTATGAAATTTAAAAAAAATAGAAAAGAAGTTTAAATAAATAAATTTGGGCACAGAAATGTTTAAAAACATTTTAAAGATATTTTTTAGTTAAAAATATTTTATTTGGAATGCTAAATTGGTGTTTGGTTTAAATAAATAACGGGAGTCTATTACTAATTTTATTGAGGAGCGGCCAACCATTTTGGGGCTTTGGCATATACCAATAAAAAAGGCATTAAAGGAAAAGGCAAAAAAAGAGTCCCACTACTAAAATGGATGAAGCTAATGTCCAAAATAAATTAAGTATGCAAAAATAGTAGAGAAAGGAAATTTAAATTTAGTTTAAATTTTACAATAAAAAACAATAATTTTTTAAACAATTTTATTTTAATAATACAAAAAGTTCATTCACTGACTTCAAATAGGTTAATATTTTTTGATCCTATTTATCTATTAATTAATTATTTTTTTAGTTTATTTAATATTTAATAATTACCTTTAAATTTTTATTAAATATTTATTTTCTTGTTTTCCTTTAACTGAAACTTCCCAAGTTCCTCTTTTACTAATTATTTATTTATTTTTTGGATTAATTACTACACAACTAAATATACCTAATTTGTTTTTTCCTCTTCCAATTTTCTTCGTATTTCTTTTTTACCTCACATACATTTAAAGAAAAACTGCTTCCTTTCAACCTAATAACAATGTACTGGACTCGATTAGATCTTTTATTTTAATTCCTTTATTGTTTATTTATTTTTTTAAAAAGAGTTGAGCGACAACTTTTTTGACACGATGGGTGGGAAAACAAAAAAATAATAATATTTGTTAAATAATTTCAAAAAAATTGGATTTAAATTTTAACAGGAATATGATTGGATAAATGAAAAAATATGTATATGTATATGCTTATTAAAAGTATTGTTAAATTACCTACATATCTAATTAATTTTTAAATTATTATTTTAAATTATTTCGAGAAATTCTTTCAACTCTTTCTTGGAAAATTTATGCCCCTTTAAATTAAAAATAAATTTACTACATAATCCCTTGGGTATCTTTACCCTATGATAATTCTTTCAGAAAAGGAGTAACAGAAAAAATAACAGAAATACATATATTTGATTTATGTATAACTATTTAATAAAAAATAAATAATAAATTTTCCTATTTAATTGCAATATATACTTTATCGTGTTATAAATATGATTCCCTTTTGGATTAAAAGGGAAATAACCTGATCATCAAAAATTTTTCTGTTTATCTCTTACCATGCAACAATGATTTAGGCAAATAAATATTTTTTATAATTTATTTTTCTTTACCTTTTCAACACTTTTTTTGTTTTGTTTTTTATTTTCATTATTCGTTTATGAAACCCTCCTCTTTTTATTTTTAATGGGTGTCCGGCTCCATAAAAGCCGTCAAACAAGCGAACAGATACCAATCGCTTTTGCACTGCTTGCGGGCCTTCCCTCATTCCTTTTTTTCCAATTTCCTCCTCATATTTGTAAATACATAAAGCAATATAGCTAACTAGTCATTTAACAGGTATTTAAACTTTTTTTGTATTAAATTCTTTAATATATAAGCTTTAGACTTTTATTTTTCAAATGAAGGACAATTCTTCCTTTATTTCATCATTAATTCCTCTTTTTAATAATTGCTCTACTTAATAATATATGTATTTATATTTAGTTATTTTTTAATAATTTTGATTAAAATTGGTCTTATCATTTTAATAGTAATTCCTTATCTGATAAATCTATCGATTAAAAGCATCCCTACAAGGCTTGCCGCCCGAAACCCGATACCCGAAAAGAAAATTTTCAAACCCGAAACCCGTACCTGATGTCTTTGCCAACTCGAAGCCCTTGACACGAAATGAAAACGCTTTAACCCGAAACCCGTACCTGAAGATTTTTTGTACCCGCGGCAACACTGATCCCTACTATAGTCCTCATTTATTTCTTCAACAAAGTAGAAATGTTATTTTTAGGAAAAGTATTTTTCGAATTTATCTCAAAAGATATTCGGAATTTTCTCTCATTTGTCAAAAAATTTCTATTAGCTTTTTATTTAAAATTCCAATAATTTATTAATCAAATCTTAGCTTTTCATCCATTATTGTTTCTTTCTGTTTAATCGCTTATTTATTTAAATACTCAATCGCCCATTATGAACGCCCAAAAATATGCATATTATTTTTCTTTCATTTTCGATTAAAACCGGAGAAAGATAAACATTGCTAATAAAAATAATAAAAAGATATTTGGGAAAGATTTGAAAATTAATAAAGGAAAATATTAAAAAATTTTAGAGATATTTATTTAAGCAGTTTTAATTAAAAATTAATTTTATTTAAAAAAATATTATAAATTTTATTTAAAATAAGTTTTAGTTGAATTTATTAATAATTTTTTATAATCAATAAAAATTTTACGAACATTATTTTCAATTTTATCTATACCATTACTTCCATTGTCATACAGTTAATTAATTAAAAAATCTCCTTGCAGAACTGTTAAATAAAATAATAGTACAATATTTAGTATTATAGAGATGAGTTAACTGACAGATACTATATAGCATTTTAATCAAAATCTATTTAATATATCCATTTAAAATAAAAATGATTTTAGATTATGGATATTGATCCGGTAGAGTATAAGGAACGTCAAAAGGAGGCTGACATTCTAAGGCAGGTTGCCTTTCTTGGTGTGGTAAGTCCTAATTTTTTAATTAATGTAAATTCGGGGTGTGACATTTATGTCCTACATTTGCAGCCTAAGGATAGAATAATATTAAATTCCGAAATAATTCTATTTAATGTTACCCTCTCAAAAATACGTTTTAGGACTTTAAATATCCATTTATTAATCCTAATTTATTTTAATAAATAATAAAATTAAAATTAGTCGGCAGCAATAATAGCAACATTATTTTCAATTTTATCTATACCATTACTTTATAATTATCTTCAACAAATTCATTCACAAATGCAGCATGAAGTAGAATTTTGTAAACAAAGGACAGGCAATATTTGGAAAGAGGTTGGAAGAGCACAAGTAATAGCTGGAGTAGATGACAATACAGCATTTTTCTTGGAAAGGATACCAAGACAGGCTGGATATGATGTAAAAATAACTTTGAAGACATTTATTTGATGATGTATTAATTCCAGATTCCCCCTCCAGGGGCAACTGTTGGCCCTTCAGCTGCTACACCAGGCTCTATCCAGGGTCATCAAGCCGCATCAGCAGCACCGTTACCAGCCGCCCCATCAAGTGGTGCCCCAAAAATACCAGCCTCTACATTAACTGCTTCTACATCAAGATATGCTTCACCATCCTCTGCTGCTCCAGCTTCTTCTGGCCCTTCGTCCGCAGTACCATCTTCTTCCGGCTATCAAAGACAAGGAACATTCGGAGCTGGAGGAGGTGCTCCAGCTGGTGCTGGACCTTCAAGTCAAGGTACTGGAGCTGTTCCAACTTCTAGTCCTGTTGCTACTCCAGGAGCTGGTCCAACTACTGTTACTCCAGGAGCTGGTCCAACTTATGCTACGCCAGGAGCTGGTCCAACTACCGCCACTCCAGGAGGCAGTCCAACTTATGCTACTCCAGGAGCTGGTCCAACTACCGCCACTCCAGGAGGCAGTCCAACTTATGCTACACCGGGAGCTGGCCCAACTTATGCTACAGGCACAACTCCAACAGCAGGTGCAGGAACTATCCCAGCGCAAGGCTCCAGTCCAGGCGGGGGCCGAGGAACTGGAGCAGGATCAGCAACTGGCCCGGGACCAACTTCAGGTCCCGGACAAGGCGCAGCCAAGCCAGGACCAGGTTGATTTTAATTGATACATAAATTATTCTTCAATACAATATAGTTGGAACAGGTGCGGGAACTGCTGGAGCAAGACCTGGCGCACTGCCTTCAACACGTCAACCAGTGTCACCTGTAAGAGGCGGTGGACGCTCGGGTGGTGGAGGAGGAGGATGTTGTGGTTGTGGCGAGAGTCCACCTGGCCCTCCTGGTCCTCCTGGAACGCCTGGAAATGATGGAGCTGTGAGTTTATTCTTTTTTGTATATTTTCTTAAATCGGTTAATTTTAAAGCCAGGAGAACAAGGTCAACCAGGCAAAAATGGACCTGATGGTACTTTGAAATTAATATAATATTAAAATTTATATATACATTACATCCATAAATTAATATCTGTTTAGCGCCTCCTCCGGCTCCTGCACCTCAAGTCGAATTGTAAATATTTTGTTTTGTCATATTCTAATATTAATATATACTTATATTTTAATTTAAAATTAGCTGTCAAAACTGTCCTCCTGGTACAGCTGGACCGCCAGGACCACCAGGACCAAAGGGTCCAGCAGGTTCAGTTTTTCTTATATTAATTGATATTTTTTACTAATCAATTATTCAAATTATTCCATGTTTTTATTTATACTAGTTTATATAAAATTTATTTGATTAGGTGCTGCTGGAGCAGCTGGTAAAGATGCAGATGGTGGGATTCGTGGTAATCCTGGACCGCCAGGACCTCCCGGCCCTCCTGGATCACCTGGCTCTACTGGAGATGCCGGAACTCCTGGGCAGCCTGGAACACTTAGTTTGTTAAATTATTATTCAGTTGTAAATAGAGGACTGTTTCAGAAGAAGTACCTGGCAAACCCGGACCTCCTGGTCCACCAGGAGCCCCTGGCCCCGCAGGAACTGATGGACAACCAGGCAATCCTGGCAAAAATGGTTTGAAATTAAATACCTATCTAATCTTTCAAATATTAAAGGAACTGATGGAAAGGAAGGGCCACCTGGAGAGACAGGACCGCCTGGCTCACCAGGAAAGCCTGGTAGTGACGGTGAAGCTGGTCCTCAAGGAAGCCAAGGCTCTGGGTTTGTATACATAAAAGATCTAATTAATTGTTGTTTTTATTCTTTAAATTTAAATAATTTTTCAGTGGAAGTTGTGACCATTGCCCACCTCCAAGAACTGCTCCTGGCTATTAAAAAATATAAATTTATTTGGAATTTTTGTAGACAAAGTTAATAAATGAAAATTTAATTTTTAATATAGTTCCATATATTTCTTTGATTATATTGTCATTTTGATGAACTCGATTTGATATTTAATGAATATTTACATTAGTATTTAGTCATATCTATAAAATTGACAAACATAAATATTTTTTATTAATTTTCAAAATATAATTTGTTGGTTAATAATTCCTTTAAATAACTAAAAATACAAAAAATACATATATATGTCAAATCTTTTAGATTTGAAAATATATTTTTTAATTATTAAACTTTGGCCGAAATTTTGTCCATATATTTTTGTCTATATTTTTAAGCCCGCTCAAAAAATGTTAATTATGGCGGGCCAAAAGGCCTTTTTTGATCCTTGCACATTAACCGTTTGGTCCCTGCTCCTTTTTCTCCCCATTCTTTTAAATCTCTGGCCCGCTCAATTTAACTAGGAAAAGCTCTTTTGTAATTTTTGTGTATTTTGATCCTGTCTGAAAAATGTCCTTTCTCTTCCCTTTCGTTCTATCTTTGCAACCCTTTGCACGGGTTATTTTGGCCAACTAATTTTGGATTAAAAATGTGCAAACACCTCCTTCTTTTTGCACATATCAACCCGAATATATAAATGGAATTTTGAGCAGTTTGGCTCAGTTTTTGAACTTGTACCCTTTCCTTCCAGTCAGATATTCCTCTCCCCGTTTGAAGTTAAGAGTTTTTTGAACTAAAGTTTATGAACTACTCCTTCCCCCGATTTAATTAAAGTTTTTTGAACTGTTTTATGAAATTTGAAATTCCTTCTCCCCGTTAAAAGAGATTTTTTCTGTTTTGTTTCTCCTTCTACCCGTTTTATAAAGATAATTGATAGTATTTTGATTTATACAATATTTTGTTAATTCTGATTATTTGTGAGGAAATAAACCGATTAAAGCTGTTTGTTTGATATATTGAGAATTAGAAATTTTATTTAAATGTTTTACTTAGGCTTTTCCCCTCCCTTTAATAAAATTCTGTTTAGAATTTTACAGCTCAGCCGGTGAAGATCCGAGACCAATTGTTTAATCCGCCCTTTTCAGAAATATAGTTTTCTCTTAATATTTTTATTCCCCAGTTAATAATTAAAAGTTTATATTTATTTGATTATAAAAAGTCCGGATTATTTATTTGTTTTAAAAGAATGTCCTTAACTTATAGAAACCAATTGTACCAGCTCTGTTCCATTACAAAAGAAATACTTCTCCCTAGCCCGTTCTCTGCCCTCATAGAAGATTATAATAATTTTAAAACCCAATCTCTCGAATCTACTCAGGCCTTAATTATTGAAATAGACCTTACCTCCCAAGAGATCACCAAAATCCTAAATGATTTTAAAATGGCCCACGATTTGTGGCAAAAATTAAGAATTTCCATGTCAGAAAATGAAAGGGCAAATGATAGCCAATTTTTAGAGAAATTCCTTCAAGAAACAGATTATATAAAAATTATGTATGACCTTAAACGGTATCTGAGAAAGCTTCGGAATTCCCGACATGAATTAGAAAGTAACTTACCGAAAATTAAACCCCCATTGGACCATTCCCATCTCCTTCCTGAACTTCCTCCTTTAAACCCCTCCCAGAATAGATCATTTAATGGAAATACTCAAACCTCATTAAAATCAGTTTATGCAAATTCTATGGATAATTCTTATCGAAACCGGCCACATATTCAATCTAATTTGTTTTTAAATCCCCCAGCTAAAGGACAATTTTCTCTTTCACCCGTTACGCAAGAAGAGGCGCCAACTCTGGCATATCCGACTAAACCCAAGCTAAACACATTTTATTCACCTCAACACCCAATAGTCCCTGAGAGCTATTTTAATGAAACCAATTGTTCAAATAGTAATAAAATGAATAAATTTAACCCACTTGCTATCCCTCCTGGTTTTTCCCCTCCAGAAGAAATAAATGTTGAAAAGAATCCTAACGATTTAAACAATCAGATGAGAGAAGAAATAATCCAATTACCAAAACTTATAAATGAAAAATATGAAGAAATACACATTAATTCGGAAGAATCAACCCCTTTTCTGATCAGTACCTCCCCTACAGATATTCTCCCATTATCTCCCCCCATTATCTGCTCCAATAATATACAACATTCGACTTCTACATCAGAAGATATATTGGAAGGAAAGGAAGTAATAGACAACATTATTAATTGTGAAGAAATTGTATTAACTACCCAAATTATAAATGTGAGTTTTGAAGAAGAAAAATCTGTTGGATTAAACAAACAACTTTTTAATACAATCAACGACACCAGAGCCCCAACCAAAAGTCCTGACTTGATTAGTACTCATAATTACTGTAATAATGTGACATTACCCATTGAAACCTTTACGAGAGATAATAACCCTTCCTCCAAAGAAGTAACAACAAAGAAAATTGTAAATTTGCGAAATTCCGACTTTAAAAGTATGACATCATTGTCTGAAGATTTTGTTAAAGATAATCCCTTTTTTTCCCGAAATTTTAAAAGTAAATTGTTAAAATTAAAAGCCCGAAAGCCACCAAGTATTTATGAAATTAAATCGCCACCCCTTGCTCTGATATATATTATAGATTTCGGAAATCCCCCATTAGATAAAATCAAGTATCCCCTCATCGAACCGAAATACGAAACCGAGAATGACTCAGATAAGAATTCAATACTTCCCTGTCCCTTTTCTTTTGTATTAAATAAAAATGATTTTTCCGAAGATTATAACAGCTCTGTCCCTAGAATATTAAAGAGCCCTCCCTCAACAAATACCTTTACTCCTGAATTCTCCCCCCGTATCGAAATTGAATTTATGAATATAAACTATAAGCCCAATTCCCACCGATACCATCTTTTTAAATCATTTATATTCCTTTTGTTGAAAAATCCCATTAACTTTTGCTCTGGCTCAATATGCTTTGGACTAAATGGACTAATACACAATATGCTATGGATTTTACTGAAACTTTCGTTCCTCCTCATCTAACTACAAGTGGTATCCAAAACGGTAATAATAGATTTGAATGTAAAAAAAACCTAATTCCCAAAATTTACTCTCTTCTCACCGTTGCTCCTCCCGACAATATGTTATGGCCTAAAGAATGAAGTTGGAAACCCAAATGAATGTTTTGAAAGAAGATAAAGGAAAAGGATGAAAAAAAATGACCAGTGCCGTAAATTTATTAAATTTAAAACGTACCTCCCCCACCCTTCCTTGCAACTCACATAAACCCATATTCCTCAAACTGCCCTATGCCTTCATCTAAACCTTTTTTTGGGTTTCTCCCGAATGTCAAATCTTTTAGATTTGAAAATATATTTTTTAATTATTAAACTTTGGCCGAAATTTTGTCCATATATTTTTGTCTATATTTTTAAGCCCGCTCAAAAAATGTTAATTATGGCGGGCCAAAAGGCCTTTTTTGATCCTTGCACATTAACCGTTTGGTCCCTGCTCCTTTTTCTCCCCATTCTTTTAAATCTCTGGCCCGCTCAATTTAACTAGGAAAAGCTCTTTTGTAATTTTTGTGTATTTTGATCCTGTCTGAAAAATGTCCTTTCTCTTCCCTTTCGTTCTATCTTTGCAACCCTTTGCACGGGTTATTTTGGCCAACTAATTTTGGATTAAAAATGTGCAAACACCTCCTTCTTTTTGCACATATCAACCCGAATATATAAATGGAATTTTGAGCAGTTTGGCTCAGTTTTTGAACTTGTACCCTTTCCTTCCAGTCAGATATTCCTCTCCCCGTTTGAAGTTAAGAGTTTTTTGAACTAAAGTTTATGAACTACTCCTTCCCCCGATTTAATTAAAGTTTTTTGAACTGTTTTATGAAATTTGAAATTCCTTCTCCCCGTTAAAAGAGATTTTTTCTGTTTTGTTTCTCCTTCTACCCGTTTTATAAAGATAATTGATAGTATTTTGATTTATACAATATTTTGTTAATTCTGATTATTTGTGAGGAAATAAACCGATTAAAGCTGTTTGTTTGATATATTGAGAATTAGAAATTTTATTTAAATGTTTTACTTAGGCTTTTCCCCTCCCTTTAATAAAATTCTGTTTAGAATTTTACATATAATTCAATTTTCTAATTATTTCCTCTATTTTCAATCTTTGCAACTTCATTTTCCCCATTAATTTCAATATTTCCATTCTCCGCCAACATTGGTTGATCACTCTCTTTTTGGATGGGATTTGAATTATTAGTTGTATTACAAGTAAATATTGCTGCTTTTCCTGAGCCAATTAAACAAAAAATTCCATTACAGAGGAATAACAAAACTGCATGCCCAATAAAAATTCGTGCCCATTCACTTGGTAATGAGACGTTTGGTGTTAATAAATAAACAATTGGGGGAACAAGAAGCATGGCAATACACATTATTATCTAAAATAATTAATTTATTTTTTCTTGTAATTAACCCCCACTCCAAAGCATTTTAATAATTTTCTAAAAATTATTTACTTGTATTTTTGCACAAATAAAATAAGCATATTGCCTTCCAACTAAAGTCGAAGATTTAAAAAATCCCCCAGTATTAAATCCCAACATAGCAACAGAAAGAATAATAAATGAGAGAACAATCCAAAAAGACAAATGTTGGGTAAAGGATAATGCCAAAAGGAAAATAGCCATTCCACTATTTTAATTTAAATTAAATTTATTTTTAAAAATAATTTTTACCAAAAGGATATAGAATTGAAGATTTTAACCTTAATTTAGAAAAATTTAAATTAATTTAAGATTAAATATTTATACCTTTAATGTTTCATCTATTGATATTTTATCACTCAAAATTCCGGCAAATATTTTTACACAAAGCTGCAATAATGTTGGGAATGCTGCTGCAAAGCCTGTACTTAAAGTTGCGTATTTAAGAACCTTAAAAATATTATAATTTTTGTAAAATTAAATAATAACTTCGCGGATATATATTGGTGAAGACATTATCTATATATAAATATTCTTTTTAAATTAATTAATTAATTACCATCATTTGTATTGAAAACCTTTATAAATTAAAAAATAAATTTAAAAATATAATTAAAAATTAACATATTTCCAATTGCAGCAACACAAATGGCCCAAACAGCTTTATTAGTACAGATTGATTTGAATGGAAACTATAAATGAATATTATTTTATGTTATAAATCCTAATATTTAATTACTACTTTAGAATTGTGTTTGTAACGTCCATCAATAACTGTTGATTTTCCTTCAGTTATTATTCTCAATTCTACATCATTTATTAATTGATGTTCAATAGCTGTATCTCTAATTTTTAAAAATAAAATATTTTCCTTAATTTTAATTTCTAACCTATAAAATATCCACCAAAGACTAATTAATCCCAAAGTAATCAAAGCATGAGCATAAAAAGCAAATTGCCAACCAAATATTTTAGCACTACAAAGAGCCCCAGATAAAGGCATTGTAATTACTGGAGCTAACTTTTAAATTATTTTAAATAAATAATTTAAATAAAAATATATGTGCCTGTATAAAGCTAGTTAACATTCCATTAAAAAGACCATTTTCAATAAGGCTAGCCCATTCAGCAGTTACAGCGCTTAAATATTTAATAAGTAAGTGCATTATAGAATTACCCAATAACAGGAAAACAAACAGCAAATCCAACTCCCTGAATTAATCTTGCAATTAAAAATGGAATAAATCCTTGAGAAGCAGCACATGGACATATTGCTGTGCTTATTGCAGAAATAAGTCCAACAATTGTAAATATTTTACTTAAAATATTTAAATTATATTTTAATTTTTAAATATTTAAAACCGGCATCCACATCGTTTAATTCCAACACCAATTCCGGGAATTGCGAGAAGGGCCCCTAAAGCAATAATTCCAAGAAGTAAAGATTTTTGTGTTGAAGTATAATAATGATCGGCATATTTTTCGATTATTTTCACTCTACCATTTATAACACCATCCCATGTAATGTTATTCAATTCTATATGCTAAATTGAAATTTTATTTTGTAGTATATAGAAGATAAACAGAATTTTTAAGGGCAAAGTTATCCAAATATTCTAAATAATATTTAAGAGAGAAAAACAAATTAAATTCGAGCTTTAGATCAAGGCAAATGAACAAAATGAAACCATTTTCTAATCCCTAACTAAATTCAATTATTAACATCTATAATGTGACAAATAAATAATTTATAAAAATTAAAAAAAATATACCCCGTAAATTCTCCAATAGAAGCACACCCTCTAATATAAGCACCCTACAGGAGGGGATGATCTATTAGAGAATTTATAGAGCTATTAGAGATCTATTAAAGCTTCTATTAGAGAATTTACGTTATTTTTAATTTTATTTAATTGCTGGTAAGATTTTTTTTACTCCTCAAGGACCAAAATAGCTTGTTCAAAATTAGCTCTATCTCGATAATTTTTTATAATTTTTATAATATTTTTATACTCGAATAAACTATCATTATTATTTGTGATGCTCGAAAAGAAATAGCGTTGTTTTTCTTTCGTTCTCTACCCATATTTTGACCCCATCTAATTATTCCCTTTCCTTATTTATTGTAAACCCTATTTTCCCTCCCACTAGTTTGTTGTGGTTGTTGTTCGTTCTTAGTTAAAATTGTTAGTTTATTTAAAAAGAGAAGTAAATTTGTTTATTTTGTGGTTAATTAATTTGAAAAGAAAAGAGATAAAGAGAGAGAGTCCAAATTTTATTCGATATTACTTGGCGCTCCTGAGAGTTTTTATTTTTATTTACTACGTGGCGCTCCTGAGGCAGAGGTTGTTCTTTGTGTGGTGAAAAAGAATTTATTTACGAATTGACTTTTTATTATTGATCTTCGTTGGCCCCCGGTGGACCAGGAATTTAATCTTTTGCAACAACAATATTTTTAGAAAAGTTATTCCTCGGTGGGATAGTTTTCGTATTGACAACTTTTTTGAGATTTTTTTTCAAAAAAAATCTTATTCAGTTTTCCCTCGGCGGGTTGATTGAATTTTCTGCGTATCAAATTTTAGCCTCGGTGGATAAAATTTGAATTTGGCTTGGAAAACAGCAAAAGAATGAAAAATACACCTCAAAATATGAATCAATATTTTCTTCACCATCAAACTCAAATGAATATTCCCATTAATACGCAATTAGGACATCCTAACAATCAATTCTACGGTTTCCCAACTTTGTTTTACCATCCAAATTATGCCTGTCCTCAACAAATGATATACCATCCTTCCACTTTCATTCCACAACAATCGATTCATCCGACTGAACAAAATTCTAATTTTCTTTCCGAAACTACGTCACAAGCTGACATGGAAAAATTACTTTTGGAGACGATTCCCGATTTAGATGGAACCGAAGGAAATTTTGCGATAAAGAAATTTTTCAAAAAATTCGATGCATATCTAGAAGACTGGCCAGAGAAAAAGAAGATTTTTGCTCTAAAATCCAAGTTGTATGGCAAGGCAAAGAGTTTCTTCATTCTTGCAATCAAGGCCAAGCACTACAACTATAAATCGATTAAGAATTTCATCCTTTGTCAGCTCCTTCCATCTGAGTACAAAGTCGAGGAGTCAATCGAATTAGTTAAAAAGCGAACCAATTCCCCTCAACAAAAGAAAAATTTGAAAGGTCATGAGAATAATTTCAAACCTCAAAATATTCCCACGCCATCTTTCAAAAATAAGGTCAACATTCAATTTGAAAAAGAAGAATTTTCACAAGAAATTTTGGAATTTTTTGAAATGCCAATCAACCAAGATTCGGCCAAAAACGTAAGCAAATTGGAAAATTCAGAAGAAAAATTTTTGAAAAATTTGGAACCAATTGTTGAAAATGATTTACTGGTGGAAAAAGATTTGGATGTTGAGTTAGTGGAAGATTTTGAAAAAGAACAATTTTGTGAATTGGATAAAGAACTTGTATGTCCCTTAGATGGAAAACAAGAATTGGCATCTGTTGAAGTTCCTATTCCAGCAGAATGCTGTGTCTTTCATGAAATCTCTTCTGAGGATATTCCTATTTCTCGTGAAGGAATTAAGAAAGAAATTGTATGTTCTGAAAATGAAGAATGTTTTGATTTGGAAAAAGTGGAAGAATTTGTTGATTTGGAAGAAAAAGGAAGCGAAGATTGTTTTGATTTGGAAGAGAAAGAAATTGAAAAGTGTGTTGATTTGGAAGAATTAGGTGAAAAGGATTTTGTTTTGGAAGAAATTTTGGAAGAAAATAGTGATGGAAAAGAAATTTTGGAATCGAAATTGGATGTGTTTGAGAAGGATCCTGAAAAGGAAATCCAACCAACACGAGACAAATTGGATGTTTTGAAAGAAAATGACAATATTGTTAAGGAAAGAAGGAATTTGTTAAGGTCCAAATTAAGTAATGCAAAAATTTTGGCAAAACTAAGATGTGAGATTCTAAGGAAAGAAATTTTAAGGAATGATTTTGGAAATGATTTTGGTTTTGGAATTTTGAAAAGAAAAATCACGGGACGATTTTTTCACGGAGTTCGGGGGTGTTTGAACTCGAAAAAATTGATCACGCTGATCAGAGTCCCCAAGCTTTCAAAGAATTTTAAGAAGGAAATGGACTACCAATTGCAAGATTTAGAACCAATGAAAGTCTTGAAATTTGTTTCGGTGACAAAACAAGATGTAATTCATGAACCAAAAGGTGATGGAATTGAAAAAGATTGGAAGAAAAGAGAGAAGTCAAAAGAAATCGGACTGGTAGAATCGGTTTCGGTGACCGAAATTCTCACCATTGGAGTCCTATTGGAAAAATTTCATCGAAGATCGGGTTTAGTAAATCGAGTCGGCCTCGAGAACCCTATGATCAACTTTGACACTGAAACATCCAAGAGCAACAAAAGAACTACCTCGCCACCCAAGACCTTTCGCGGAAACAGGCCGAGATGGAAGAACTTTTTCTGACGTCGAGGACGCCGTCATCTGAAGTGAGCGGGATGTGATGCTAAAAGGAAATAGCGTTGTTTTTCTTTCGTTCTCTACCCATATTTTGACCCCATCTAATTATTCCCTTTCCTTATTTATTGTAAACCCTATTTTCCCTCCCACTAGTTTGTTGTGGTTGTTGTTCGTTCTTAGTTAAAATTGTTAGTTTATTTAAAAAGAGAAGTAAATTTGTTTATTTTGTGGTTAATTAATTTGAAAAGAAAAGAGATAAAGAGAGAGAGTCCAAATTTTATTCGATATTACTTGGCGCTCCTGAGAGTTTTTATTTTTATTTACTACGTATTACCTCGGGTCTGACGTTTCTCCATTCACTTATGTTATCAAATTGCCCTTCTAATTGAGAATTTACTTCAATACTCTTTTCAAATTTCTGTAGTAAATATTCTTTTAGTTTTAGCATAAAACCTTCATCAAAATTTGTGAAATTAAAACCTAAAATTTAAAAAATACCTAGGTGAACTCTTTTCAAATTTTTGTTGTAATTTAGAACTTTTCTTATACATATAAATATTTCTATTTAGAAATAAAAACATTCTACATAATTATGAGAGTGTTTTAAATTTACCACAATATTTTTCACTTAAATTTAAAATTTCTCACAATTTTTATATTTAATTAATTTAAAATAAATCCAAAATTACCATTAAAATCAATATTTTTTGGATCCAATTTCTCTCCAACTTTTTTAACTGCCATTTCTCCAATTTCCATAGCTACCATTTTTAGTAATCGGAAAAATAATTGAGGGTTATGTATAGCTAATTTAGAAGAACTTTTTCTTAGCCAGCTAGTTGAATCTAAAGAGGGTAATTCTATGCCTAGTGATGGGAGATTATTAAAGCCATCAGTTGGTTTTGAAATTGATATAGAACTAGTAGATGATTTACTAGATGAATGTTTTTCTTCAAAAGCAGATTCAAAATTAATATTTTCAAAAACATCTTAAATTAAAAAATTTTTTTTAATTAAATTATTTTCTCAAAAATTTCAATAATTCTATTACCAATTCCAACATCAATTGTAAAATTTTTCCAATGAAATTTTTCCTCTGTCATACATAAAATTGTAAAATTTAAACAAAGAATATTTCCCAACATCATTGAAAGACTTAATAAAGATATTATTAAAATAATATATCGGAAACGGCCATTAAATATTTGTTGGACAGACATTTTTTTAATTAAAAATAATTAATTTCTAAGTAATATATTTTACAAATTAATTACTAAATTGATTAGTTGATTAAAGGAGAAGAAATTAAAATGAAAATAGTGATATAGAATTTAATAAAGAATTTAATTTTTTGTATAAAAAATACGCGTATTTATTTGAAGGTCATTTTTTCTTTATTTTTTTTTGTAAAAAAATATTTTAAAAAATAAATTATTTTATTTTTAATTATATTAAAATATTTTTGTTTTATTTAGGATTATTTTTAAAAATAATTTAATCTCTAATCTCGTTAATATTAAAAACATCTATTTAAAATATTAACGTCAAAATAATTCTTAATTAATTATTAATTCATGGAAAAGGATTTAATATATTAAATATTTATTAATGATTTATTAAAAACAATTCTCGTTTGAAGATTGAATAAAAATGTTTTGTTTAAGTTAATTGACAAATTAAGCCAACAGCTGTTAAATTTTTTTCATGAAATAAAAAACAAAAATTTGGGATATTTAATTAAAAAAATAATTAATAAAAAAGAAAACTGCATTTTTAAGAAATTAAAAATCTAATAGGTGTAGAAACGATATAAAAAATTAGAACTCTAACAATGAAATATGGGCCTTGTTCTAGTTAATAAGTCGAATAAATGTTTACGATCCTTTAGTTATCTTTTCTTCTGGCTGCATTTAAATTGGAATTAATTAAATAAAATCTCTAATGAAATCTAAAAATCTACTACATAAACAAATAAAAGTGTCGGATACGTAGTTCAACTAAAAACGGCTGCTCAATTAAAGAAACTAAGGTATCTACAAGAAACCTTATCTCAGTTTTTAATTCGAATCATGCTTTTTTGCTTTATAGAAATAAAAGGTAAAAATTCCTTATCTCTATACCAAAATAGCCCAAAAATTTTTCGTATTTCTATTTTATTAAATTTTCTATTTTATTAATTTCGTATTTCTATTTTTTAAAATATTTTTATACAATTAATATATTTAAATGAGATCAATACATATATTAATCATTTTAAATCAACTATGAAATTAAAAAACACTTGTTTCTCATAAAATTTTTCTTTTTGATTTTCACTTCTCAACCAAGTCTAAAATTATTTGAAAAAATTATTATTTAAAAATTTATCAATTTATTTACCTCATGTAAGCACTTTTCCTCTTTCCAAATCGCATATAAGCACTCTTTCTTTTTTCCATTGGTTGATTTTCTGCCATTAATCCATCAATGCTGATATATTCAGAATCGGGGATTTGATTAGCTTCGTTTACTCCTCTTTTTCCAAATCTATTAAAATAAAATTTAAATTAAAAATTTCTGGAATTTTTAAAATATTTAAATTATTATTTTTAAAAAATAGAAAATATCTCTTTTTGTTTATTTTTTGTCGTTTTATTTTTTAACTAAAATTTATAAAAGTTGAGCTAAATTAAACCAAAATTAACCCAAAATTTAAAATATTATTCTACAAAATATTAATAATTAAAAATGACAAATATTTCGTGACAACGATATTTAAAAATGTTAAGAAAATTAAAACGCAAAAGGAAATCACGCATTTCGTTTATTAAGTTCAACAATACAAATAAAATTTATTTAGGTAATAAAGAAGGATTATTTGGATTTTTTTGAATATAATTGTATTTTATACATAAATATTTACAAGTTTTTTATTAAACAAAGAAAGACAGTTATGTAAGAAGTCAGATTTAGAAGGTAATGGGAATCAGATAAAACTATTTTTAATTTAAATAAATTTTATTCTGATTTTAAATTAAAGTGTTTATTTTTAAGTATTTATGAGTTTGAGTTAAGGATTCTCTAAATTAAAAATTAATTTTTAATGTCAGCACGATCCTTGAATAAATTAGAATTACGAGAACAAAAATTACACGAACAAAAATTACACGAACAATTACACGAGAATACACAAACAAAAAGTAATTTTAGATCTTTTAGGTTTTTAGATTATTTAACATTTAGAAATTTAGATCGCCAGTTTAAATAAATATTTTCTTTTTTTTTCAATTTTTCTTTTAATTTGATTAATTCCTATAAAAATATCAAATACCTCATATAAGCACTTTTCCGTTTTCCAAGCCGCATGTATGCTGATTTACGTTTTTCCATCTGCACTGGCGGCGATAAAATTCGGCATTCAGCCAAATTAGGGAATTGTTGGCATAATTGCTTAATTTCTGCTAAATTATTTTCAATATCGTCATAATTTGCTGATATAAATATTGTTAGGTTAATTAATAATAAAGAAGTTATTATTAAATGTTGATTTAAATTAAAATTGTTGGATTTTGAAATATTTGGCATTTTAAATGATGTATTTTTAATTAATTAATTTTTTAGAGAAATTTAACTAAAAATATATTAATCTTTTTGATGTTTAATAAAATAATTAATTAATTAATTCTTTTGGAGATTAATATTTTCTGCCGGTTTTTGAGACTTGCTTAAACTAAAAAAGAAAAGAAAAATTTTTTTCTAATATTAATAAAATAAAATGATAAATATTGCATGAAAATATTTAATATTTAAATAAATATAATTATTATATATGAGAGTTTTTAGCATTTATTTAATATTTATTAAGAAAGTCACGAAAATTAAAAGAAAAGTTATTTTGTTTCTTTAATTCTATTGTCATTTAAAAAAAGTATTTATTTGTGCGTGAGAAAAAAGTAAAATATAAAAATTATCAGAAAAAAATATTTAGTAAATGAAAAATTTTTTTGAATAAAAAAAGGAATTTATACTAAATTGTTAATTTAATAAATTAAAAAAAATATACATATTATCAATTAAAACAGCTTAAAAATAAAATTAGGTTAATGAGCATTGGATATTTTCATATTTATCTTTGAAAATTTTCTGGATTAGTTGGACTTAATTATAGAAAAAATATTATTTTTAATTTCATGGATTTTAATATTTTAATTTATCAAAAATCTTATAAAAATTTTAAATAACAAAATGAAATCATTTTAAACAAAGACCCTTTAAAAACACAATAAACCCACACAAATACAAATTATTATTTAATAGAAAAGTTTTTTTATTAAATTTAATTTAACCATTTTCCTGTTTATTTTATCGTCTCAATACTTATTATTTAACTTAATTTACTCAATTTTTGTTTTTAAATTAATTACCAGATAAATTCATAGAAAAAGTTCAAATAAATTTGCATTTATTTAATTAAATAAATAAATATTTTTAATAAAATGTTAGAGTGATTTGTATATGTATTATTAAAAAAAATATTTTTTAGAAACAGTAAAAATAAAAATAAAACTTTAATTATGTATTTATGTATTAAAGAATATTTAAAATTATTTTATTTTAACTTATGTTTATATTCGAAAAACTATGGGGTTCTTATAATTTCTGACAGTGTATAATTTAAATAAATTATATATTTATTAAAATATTTATTTAATTATAAAAAAATGCTAGTTAAGTTTTCCCATTAATTTTAAATCTTAAACAATTCTATTTAGAGAATGTGACAATTTCCGGTTTTTTCAATAAAGAATTATAAAAGAGGATTAAAAAATAAGTTTTGAGTTAATGGTTACTTTTGAAATCCCCAGAAATATCCTAAACCGTTTACGGCCGATCTTAAGCAAGGAGATAAATTTAATCTGGTTATTCTTGACTTTAATTTTGAGCCATTTATAATAAATATATAAGACTAATTTATACAACTTGATTCATTGTACAGCCAAATATTTTCCAATTTTCTTACTTCAATTAATGGATTTAATCCGAAATAAATTTTAAGCTTTAATATCTATAGAGTCTTAATAATAATCTAAATATAAATGGATATTCTTAAATAAAAATTAAAAGTATAACCAACTTAAAATATTTATAAAATGAATATATTTATAAATATCAATATTATTTTAACTAAAATAGAAAATTAAATATTTTAAGAAAAATTAAGTAGATAAAATATTATAAAATTATTTGTAACATCTTTAACTTTTCAATAATTTTAAAATAAAATTATAAAAATAATAGCCATATTTTTGGCCCTAAGAAGAATTGATAAGAGAAAACTAATTATTTTTTACATAATTAAAGTTATTTTGAAAGATTAAATTTTTTTAAAGTTTTTATTAGAAATAAATGTTACTTTTTAAAAAAATGAACTAAGAAAAAATATTAAAAAGTTACTTTTGCACTTTAAGAAAAAAATAATTTGATGGCGGTGGCCATTAGCTGATAAACAAAAAATACTGTTAGAATATTCTAATTTAATTAGCTAATTTTTAACTCAACTTTTTATTTTAAAGTTAATTTTAAATAAAGTTAGTAAATGAACTAATGAAAACTTTTTTGTTATTAAAATTGCTAAACATTTAAAATTAAAATTTTATTAGCATCTAAAAGGAATTTTTATTTTTAATTTAAAATATTTAGGAGATATGTATTGATAGATAGAAATCAAGATAAATTTATATTTTTCCACAGATTTTTCTTAATTTATATATTTAATGCTAGAAATAGAAATTTGAAACGAATAACTCAACACTTCTTAAAAAACTTATAATTATGTATGTATATTTATTTTCGATAAAATATACTCTTTAGCAATTTCTATTTTAGAAATAAAAGGAATTTGAAATTTAATAAATAATTAATTTTTAAACTAAAATCCAAATTTATTTTAAACATTTATTAAATCTTGGATTATCTACATAATATTAAATTAAATATGAAAAAATTTTTGCACTATTTTTTTGCAATAGCTTTGTATAAATTTTAAATAAATTTATAAAAATTAATTTACTGTGAATCTGAATAAAAAAAGAAAAATAAATGTTGCAGATTTTCTAGAACGGAAATACTACTAATTATAAACTTCGTTCTCCTTTTTTTGTTACGTCTTCAAAACTCGTGAGAACCTGCTAAATTTTATTTTTTAGAAACAAAGAAAGAGGAAGTTATTTTAATTAGTATTTATTTCCGGAATATTTTAGAAAATAAAAATAATTTTAAATATAATTTAGGGAAAATATTGAAAATAAATTTATTAAAAATTTTAAAAATAATTTTTATAAATAATTTAAAAAATTGACAGATATTTTAAAGCTAGTTTGGATAGGTTAATTATGGAAATTCAGAGAAGGAAATAAAAAAATTAAATTTAAACAAAAAATATAAAATAAATTAGAAAGGGAATACCTATTTTAATTTGTAGATTTTATAAATAGGTATTAAATAAGTGTATACCGTAAATGCTCTAATATAAGCCCTGGACTTATATTTTCAATGGGTCTCCTCAGATGGCTTATATTAAAGGTTGGCTCTACAAGAGGTAGACTTATACTAGAGATATTTTTGTGAATAAATATTTAATAAAATATTCTTTGTATTTTTTGAGATTTTACTATAATTAAAATTAATTTTAAAATTTTTAATTAATTTAAATAAATTTAAAAGGAAATGATGACATTTTGTCCTTTCGTGATAAGTAAATATTTTTATAACCTTAAGGAAAATCTTTTTAATTAAATCATTGAATTAAAAAAATACAAATTCTAAGAATTTACAAGAAAATAATTAAGAATTAAATTAAAATAAAGGGGTTAAGAATTTTTAAAGAATTTTTTTCATGTGTGGGAGAATATTTAAATAAACAAAAAAAAGGAAAATATGTGTGGCTTATTTTTTAAAAGAAAATTTTAGGAATCATGGGGTACTTTTTTTATTTTATTCTTAAAAATTCCATAAAAAATGTCCTTATTATATTTCTTATAAGAACCTAAATTATTACTTAATTAAAATATATTAGGTAATTTGGTTTTTGTTCTAAAATAGTACATACTTAATTTTATAAATAAAGAACATTTTTAAATAATTTATAAAACAAAAGAGAGAATGTTTTATAATATTTGTTAATTTCTAAAGAATTGTGTCATTGAAAATTTAGATATTAATTGTTCAAAAATTAGAAATCTAAAAATAAACTATTGAAAATAAAAATTATATATATTTTATTTTAAAAATAAATGTAAATTATATAGATTTCCTTTAATTATTTGTTTTTCAAAGCTTATTTACGTAACATTAACAAAAAATGATTTTTTATTAACAAAACTTATTTAACATTTAAATGTTCTTTTCTATTTATAAATTACAAAAACTATCATATATTCTCGTTAATTCAATTGGAAAATAAACCAAATTCAAGCAAAACTGATTAGTTATCTTTGTATGACTTGCTATCTACAATAATAAAACAATTATCTATTCGGAATAGGCAGACGGGAACTGATGCTTGTAAAGGCCAAAATATTTACAATAATTTTATTTTTATTTTTAAGCTCATAGATTATCATTAATTACCGGATTAACATTAAACTTTCTACAGATTAAAATTAATTGTAGTCAATGTTTAGAATGATTATTCTCAAATAAAAAATTACCTATAGACATATAATAATAAAAATTAAAAAAATTAAAATAAAATAAACTATTTCTTCTATTTATCAAAGGACTTAGCTAATTTTATATCTACCCCACTTCAAAAAGAAATTTTCTAAAAACAGAAAAGTCGAGACCAAAACCAAAAAAACCTAAGAAAAGTCTTGAGTCATGGCTCAAAACCACAAGTTTTTGACAGCTGTAATGAAGAAAATTGGCTAAAAACCAATTTTTCAGACAAGTCATAAATGAAAAAGTTATTTTAAATGGGACAATTTTTAAAATGAAATAACAAAAGTTTCGTAAAATATTCATAAGCATTACTAAACATACTTTTTTGCACTTAAAATAATTTAATTTTGCACTAATACATAAAAATATTAGTGTTGTTGTTTTTCTTCGAAAATAACTTGAAAAAATAATAACTTTAATTAAATATATACTTTTAAATTAATTTTTTTAGAAATCTGGTTTTTAATTTTAAAATAAAAATATATAAATCAAGAATAAATAAAAACATCATAAAAATTAAATACATATGTAAGGATAAACAAATTTAAAGTTAAAATTTAGCTAAAAATTCCGAAAAGAAATTTAAAAAATAAGCAGATTTAAACATATATTTAATAAAACTTTCAAGGACATTAACCATTTGTTTTTAAGTAAATATTTAATTCTGTAAAAGAAAATAAAAAAACATAAAAAAATATAAAAATAATGAGAGAATATTTTTTAATTCAAAATAAGACAAAACAAAATCTGACAATGTTTTTTGTGTTTTCTCAATTTTTCTGTTTAATTTTGACATAAAATTTATTCATCATTTTGAATTAAAAATTTTTTTAAAAAAATGGATGACCTTTAACAAAGCCACACATATTTATTCCTTATTTTATATAAAAATATATTCTTCATACAAATTAAAAACAATTGAATGTATTACTTCAATTGTTTTATTATTTATTATATTTTTATCTTCACTCTTCCTTATTCTTCTTTAATTTGTCATTTGGCATTCATACATCTAAAAAGCATTTTTTAAATTTATTCTCTTTAGGGACTCTTCTTCTTCTTAACCTTTCAATTAGCCAAGTAAAAAATAAAATAGCTGCAAGATGATAAAATTTTTAAAAATGATGAGACAAAAAATTAAGAAAATTAAGAAAAAAAGAGAAGTCTTTAATTATAATTTAGAAACTTTAAAGAAAATGGGAAAAGAAAGAAAAGTTGCATTTGTTGGAGAGCCTGAAAGAAATAAACGTTCATTTAAAGAATATTACTGATGTCATAAAAATTGAAAAACAAGGACAATTTGAATGGGAAAAAATTTTAATTTTAAATTAATTTAAATTAATAAAAGTTTTACTTGAAAATATTTGAAATTATTAATTTATTAATTTACATCCATTTGTCTTGAAATTATAAAGGCATGAAGTAATGAATTATATTTAAATAATATAATCCAAAATTTTCATGATAAAATAACTAATTTTAATTTATAAATTAAAGATTAATCTTGTACAGACAAAAATGAAGCTTTGGCTTCTTTCAGAACGTCGTATAAGGCTAAAAAGAAAATTTAAAACCATAAACTTTCTCCACAAAATATTTAATCAAAATAATTAATAAAAAAATCTTTTATTAAAATAAATATTTAATAAAAAGTTTTAAATTTATTTTTCTACTTCCAAATGCCCTTTTTTAACTCATTCATAATGACCTCAAATTCTACATATATTTTTACTTTATTTTGTCCTTGAATTTCTTTTATTTCTACATCAAATACTCAACAAAAGTATTACCTTCATTTTTTAATATTTGGTTAATACAAATGTGTGAATGCGCAGTAGAGCGAAGAGTAAAAAAGGAAATACACATGGAAGGAATTGGGGATGTACAAACCAACCCGGAAGGTAATCGATTGCTCACATAAACGCGGATATATTTATTTTAGCTAAAATATACCTTTTAAAGATTGCTTTTATTTTTGTAAATTCTTTTTAGTAAATTTTAGAAAATTAAAAATCTTTTATTGTTTATTTTAACTTTACATAGTGTAATATTTAATATTAAAAAATCCTAACAATTTATTTGCGTTTATGTTAATGTAAGAATCCAGATATATGTAGGTAAATAAGTGAAAATATAAACATAAAATAGTCCACCTTCGTGCCAACTTTTTGCCTTTGTTGTGAAAAGCTGTGCCAATTTAGTTATACTTGTTTATTCACATAAACAAATCTACTTCTTTTCAAATAATTTTTCAAATAAATTTGTTAATTAAATTAAAATAAATATTAGTGATTATTATTATTTTATGCAATCATTTTATCCAAAATTTTACATATTATTTAATTTAAATATAAATGCATCTTCGTGGTCAACCAGCAGTCACAGCACATTATCAACAAAATCATTTAAACAACTATCAACAACAATCAGAAGCTAATGCTGGAAGAAGTTGTCCACAATTGGCACTTATTTTAATTACCGTAATCTTTTAAAATAAAAATACATTTTTGGTTAATTTAATATTAAATTATAATCCTCACCTAAATTGCCATTCGAAAAATATATATAAACTACATAAAGGTTTCTATTAGTCCCGGATGGTAGGTTTTCTAATTAGAAAACAAATCTGGTTCTGGTTTTTATTTAAGCGAATATATATACCTATCTCTAATATTGATGGAGTAAAATAAATTATTTTTATCACAATAATATTTTAATTAATTTTTTAATCAAAAACTGTTAGACTTCGTTTTTAACTGAAAAAATCATTTTTAAATTACAAATATTTTTCAGTTATTTCTTTTACTCACAGCTGTAATTTTGGCAGTAATTGCGGTAATTATTTAAATATTTAATAAAAATATTTCCAACTGTAATTATTTTAGCTACTTAATCCATCATGGCAAGTAGTGGATATTCGAGAATTCCAAGCAGAACATCATGTAGTAGACATATTTAAATAATATATTTTAAATCAAAATATTTAGCACGGTCTTTACACAGACTGTACTCGGGCAGAAAGAAATCCTTCCCCCAGTAGAAGACTTGAAAGTTTTGTTGAAAAATCTCCGCTTCATTGCACTTATAAATTTGATCAACATGCTTTGGATAATGTTGAAGCACAAATACATGATATAGACTCTAATGCTGCAGCTGCTGAAGCTGAACATCATCAATTTTATGGTTAAAATTATATAATTGATACCAGGAATTTGAAAATAGATTTATATACTAGAGATCGAGCAGAGTCTGGACCAAGGCCTGGGTTTTTTCTGTACCCAGAGTCCAGGCCCAGACATTTTTTGACCTTCCTGGGGTTTTCCTGGGCCTGGGTTTTTTCTGGACTACAGGCCCAGGATCCGGCCCAGGTCAATAGATTAAACTCGGAATTCAAGAACTGTCCCAGGCTTTTCAAAAATTTCGATCTCCAATATATACCTATTTGTGATTTAAATTAGTTTATAAAATATCCAAAATACTCAACCAAACCTAAATTATAATGATTTGTCAAAACATTTTTTAAAAAGGTTGGCAAAAAGCTGTTCTTATTTGTATGGGCCTTTCTTTAATAGCAGCTCTGTTTTCCTGTACAATGGGATTATGTGCACCTTGTACTCCAGGATGTGCTGTTCTACACAGTACTGCCAGTTTCTTTGCTTGTAATAATAATTTTTAAACAATTTTTAAAATTATTTATTTAAAAAGTTTTGTTTGCCGTTGTAGCTGCTTCTGTTTTCTTTTTTGCAGCTCATCGTGTTGATAGCCGTTTTGTCGTTGTAAATTATTTTTTAAAATAATTTTTCAATTAAAATTATTTTAAGGGTCTTGTTGGGACTTATGAAGTAAATATATAATTTAATATAAAAAAAGTTTCTTTTTAATTAAAGCAACAAATTGGGGAAGCATTTTATTGTTATGTAATAAGTTGTTTGTTATTAATGCTTGTTTTTATTTTGAGGTTTTTATTTAACGAATCTTAAATCAAAGTAAAAATTATCTCCCATCATTATTGTTAGTTGAATTCTTTTTTAAAAATATTTTCAAATGGACATGAAATTATATTCTTCCGAAAAAATTTATTTAGCCGGATACGGATTGGCATATCTGACTTTATCCATTTATCTAAGTCTAGATTCTATAAGATGTCTAGATTAACGTTTTATGTCATCCTAATATTAAATTTTAGATAAAAAATATTAATTAAATTAAATATTCTAAATAGTTTAATTGGTGCCTACCATGCATTAAGAAGCTCTACGATACAAGCAAACCAAACAGCTGCATGTTTGGCACGACGAGAACAAATGGCTCCATTAGCAGGCCATTGGTCAGAAAGTAGAAATGAAAAAATTGTTTTTGGAAAAACAACTGTTTAATTAAATAAGTATAATCAAAATTGATCTTTAAAGTATAATTAAATTTCAAACAAGCCATTATTTATTTATTTTGTTTGGGCTGGCATTAGAATACATACTCGGAGTATAATGAAATCTAACCTTGGAGTTATGTGTTGCGGATCAGGGGTTTTCTTGAAGCTGGAAACATGGGTTCGGCCGTGGAAATTCTCAATGAATGTTGGGATCGAGAAAACGGCGGGCAGGGATTGCCTTTAAAATAATTCCAAATTTTTAACATATAAGTGAAATCTGGAAAAAAATTTATAAAAAATTTTATAAAGTTTTTTTTCAAAGTTTTATTCAAAAAGGCAAAATTCCGCAGGTCGCAAGACAAAAGAAGATTTGCATCTAAAATCCAAATTTATAATTTTTTAATTATTATAAAATTCCTTTTTCTTTTTTGCCTTTTTTTAATTTAATTCTTTCTCGCCTAAAAATTCCATAAAACATTAATGCATAATCCTAATGCCAACACTAATAAGTCTTAATTTAAAAATTAAATTATTGTTTTATTTGTTTAGATTGAGTAAATTTAAAATTACTTAAAATTATTTAAAATTATTTAATATTTAAAACATAAAAAGTAATATTTTAAAAGACTGGAAATACCGGAAACAATTTAATTATTTGAACATATTTAAGTATATTGGAGTAAAATTTTATATTTAATAACCTACCTAATCGCGTTTATTGAACGTCAAATTAAATAGCTTCAAAAGTAAAAATGAAAATTATTCCGACTATTTTAATTTTAATTCTATCGAAAGTAGTTAACCCCCCCGAGATGTCGTTGGGGCAGCGGGGTCCAACCATTTAGCACCTCCCCCTTAATTAATCGGTCATTCAACCATTCCGTCGTCAGAGTCCAAAGGTCCAAGGAGTTTCCAAAAGGTTTAAGGGGTAATTTGATCAAACCGGTTTAAGATGTAAATTTTTAGAAAAAACCAATCATTCCCCATATTTTTCATAACCAAAATGTTCCCAAAGGAGCTAAGGTTCAAGAAGTAGTTTTAAACTGGTTTAACCGGTTTCCCATATCTCATTAAACCTCATATCAAACCTCACAAAATTATTATCACCCTCTCTTATTAAACCTCTCACATCAAATTCTCCATACTTTTTAATTTAAAAACTTTTTTAAATCCCTCTTGCCTTCCTCTTCTTTTTGAACCTTTATTTTTAATACATTTACAAAATTCATTAATTATCAGAAATTAGGCGGTGAAAATAATATTTGAAAATACGTTGCAAATGAAATTACGAAATTCAACGTTAACATTGTAAAATGGAAAAAATCAGTCATACAAAAATAAAATTGGGAAATAATTATAAAGAGTAGGCGTTGAAAAGTGAAAATAGGTCAGAAAGTAGGTCATGCACGAGAAAAACTTGTAAATTATTGTTGAAAAGTGAAAATTGGGTAAATTTTATAAAAGTAGGTAAAAATAATGATAAAAATATCAAAAAATACGTCATGTGAATATTGTTTCAAAAATTATTAAAAAGTAGGCGTGGAAAAGTGAAAATAAATAAAAATTTGACAAAAAAATAAATATATATTTAAATCAAACCCTCGTAGTAGTTAACCCCCCCGAGATGTCGTTGGGGCAGCGGGGTCCAACCATTTAGCACCTCCCCCTTAATTAATCGGTCATTCAACCATTCCGTCGTCAGAGTCCAAAGGTCCAAGGAGTTTCCAAAAGGTTTAAGGGGTAATTTGATCAAACCGGTTTAAGATGTAAATTTTTAGAAAAAACCAATCATTCCCCATATTTTTCATAACCAAAATGTTCCCAAAGGAGCTAAGGTTCAAGAAGTAGTTTTAAACTGGTTTAACCGGTTTCCCATATCTCATTAAACCTCATATCAAACCTCACAAAATTATTATCACCCTCTCTTATTAAACCTCTCACATCAAATTCTCCATACTTTTTAATTTAAAAACTTTTTTAAATCCCTCTTGCCTTCCTCTTCTTTTTGAACCTTTATTTTTAATACATTTACAAAATTCATTAATTATCAGAAATTAGGCGGTGAAAATAATATTTGAAAATACGTTGCAAATGAAATTACGAAATTCAACGTTAACATTGTAAAATGGAAAAAATCAGTCATACAAAAATAAAATTGGGAAATAATTATAAAGAGTAGGCGTTGAAAAGTGAAAATAGGTCAGAAAGTAGGTCATGCACGAGAAAAACTTGTAAATTATTGTTGAAAAGTGAAAATTGGGTAAATTTTATAAAAGTAGGTAAAAATAATGATAAAAATATCAAAAAATACGTCATGTGAATATTGTTTCAAAAATTATTAAAAAGTAGGCGTGGAAAAGTGAAAATAAATAAAAATTTGACAAAAAAATAAATATATATTTAAATCAAAGTTTTTAGGATTTTTCTTCATTCCTAAAATAATTTAAAATTTCTGGATTTTTATTCAACTACTGATTATTATAATACTATGTCTCCTCCACCATCAAAGAGATCAAGAAGTTTCATGATCAACAATCTTCTTGATCTGCAGCTTGGCGGCGGTGATTTTTTACAACATTTGGGTGAAGAAATTAAAATCACCCGGAAATTTAACCTTACCAAACTGTCTACAAAGTTTTTAATATCTGGTTTGCCCGATGAACCAGAAGGATTACTAAAGGAAATTTTTCAAAAATGTATTGACCAGACCCTAGAAACGAGCCATGATCACCAACTTGATCCAGATCAACTTGGTTGTACAGTGAGCAGTCAGTTGTTGGAAACTGACATTTGGATTCCAATCAGGGACATCAATAACAACACTGTAGACGCCATAATTAATCAATTCCTCAAGGTGGCGCAATCAAAGAAGCAAGATAATGGCATGCTTTGGGGTGAAAAATTCATCGTTACAGTTACATGCGTGGACAAGAAGAATCTACAAACTACACGGATTATTCAAGGTAGTGGCGGGAAGCCTATTCGTCGGATCAACGACAAGGCTTTGATCAAAATTCGTAATTTCGACAACTTTTGCCTATTCTATTCGTTGATTGCTTCATACGTATTCTCAATATGTTCCTGGTCGAGGAGTAAATTTTATAATTACATGCACAGCCGATATGGAATGGCTCATCAACTCGAGAAGGATGCACTGGAATTAATGAATATAATTGGAGCTCCTCTTGATCAGCGTACCTATGATGCAAAGGATTGGGTGCCAAAGGTGGTGGACTATTGGAATTCTTTGGATAAAGGTGGCTTTAAAGTTTTTATTTTTGGGGAATTCAATGAAAAGCCTATTTATAAATATGGGACTGAAAATTACAACACTCCAATCCTTCTTTATTTTAATAATAATCATTTTGATGGAGTTAGAAGGGCAAGTGATTTGTTTGGTAAGCCCTATTGCCTTGCCTGTGAAACCCTCTATAACAAACCGAAGGATCATGCGACTTCATGTAAAGCTAAATGTCAAAATTGCTCCAGGATAGGCCCCGACTACCCTTGTCAGCAGATGAACAACTTTTTCAAACATTGTCCTAATTGTGATAAAGAATTTTACAACAATAACTGCTATGACCATCACATCAATTCTAATTTCTGCAACAACTCCAAAAAATGTAAAAAGTGTGGAGTGGTATGGAATGTTGTTGTAAACAACCGAAATGGACGAGGTGGCCATGTATGCTCGGAACGTTACTGCAACACATGTTTTAGCTTCCACGACCCCAAAAGAGGATGCTTCATCAAACCTCTTACTCTCAAGAAGCCAAAACCGTACCGGATCATCGCTTTTGACTTCGAAACTACGCAACACATCCAAGGAGAAAAGGGTAATCTACATGAAGTTAATTTTATTTCTGCTAAGATCAATTGCCCTGATTGTATTGCTAACGGTCTGAAAAACAACTGTAAAAATTGTGGAGAGGATCGAACTATAACCTTCTCTCATCAACCCTTTTCTAATACTCATGTCGATCAACAGAACATCACTAATGAACCTCTGACTGATTTTGCAACTTGGATCACCAATGCTTCAACAGATACAATTGCCTTCTCGCATTTTGGTGGAAGGTTTGACATGGTCCTACTCTTCAAAGAATTGTATCTTCTTGGCTTAACTCCAGATATGGTTAAGAAAGGAAACAAAATGTATGAAATGAAAATGAAAAATTCTAATAAATGCTGGATCATCTTCAGAGACACATACAATTTAATGCCGATGCCTCTGGCATCTCTTGTACCTGCGTTTGGATTGCAAGTGGAAGATAAACCTTTCTTCCCCCATCTGGCCAACAATCCGAAAAATTATGGGAAAGAGATCTACCCAGCAAAAGAAGACTACCTTTGCAATGGAATGATGCCTGAGAAAAGGGTCCAATTCGATAAATGGTTCGATTTACACAAAAATGAACCTTTTCTCCTCGATGAACAACTTGCATCCTACTGCACAAACGATGTTGAAATACTTATGGCAGCACTTGTGGCTTTCAGAAAAGAATTTTTGGAAGTTTCAAACGGACTTGATGTTCTACGAGAGTCCATGACTATTGCTTCAGCTTGCATGAAACACTTCAGAATGAATCATCTCAAAGCTCAACACGTCGGAATTGTTCCTGAAAAAGGATACGACAACGTGGACAACCAAAGCTTATTGGCACTCCGCTTTCTAAAATGGTATGCCGATAAGAACAACATTACTATTCGAACAGCACACTCAAAGAATGGTGAAAAGAAGATTGGCAATTATAAATTGGATGGGTAGGCTAAAGAAAAGAAATTGGCTATTGAAGTCAATGGGTGCTGCTGGCATGGCTGCATCAAATGCTACCCAGACGACAACATAAAACTTCCTACTGGACTTACTGCAGGTCAACAAAGGCAAAAGGATCAACAACGTCTCAACTTTATCAAGAATTTGGGAGTGGATGTGGAGGTCTACTGGGAATGCGAAATTAGAAATATGGTCTCCAAAGATTTTGAGATGAGAAGAATGTTTAAAAATTACTTGGATGATGGACCGATCAACATCAGATCAGCATTTTATGGTGGAAGGACAGGCCCTCTAAAACTTTTTCATTCTGCACAGCAAGAAGAAAAAATTTCCTACTATGACGTCACTTCCCTCTACCCATTTATCAACGTTTCAACGCGGTACCCTGTTGGACATCCTAAAGTGCACGTGATCAACAAAGATGTCAACTGGACAAAACCCGAAGACAACATTTACACCCTTGCACTTCTAAAACTATTCATCATCCCTCCTAGAAAAATTGATGTACCTGTCTTACCTATGAAAATTGGGGAAGATGAAGATGAACGACTACTCTTTCCACTATGCTCTACTTGTGCCAAAGAACATCCACATGGGGATGTCAAGGAAAACTACTGCTGTCCCCATTCAGATCAACAGAGAGGATGGGTGTCTACATGCACATCTATCGAGCTGAACGAAGCCCTCAAAGAGGGGTATATTGTCACCAAATTATTTAGAGTATTGGAATTTAAAACCTACGACGACCAACTCTTCAGGCCATACATTAGTGAATTTATGTCTCAAAAAATTCACTCGTCTGGCTTCGACAGTGCAATCAAAGGAGACATAGAAAAAGAAGATAAATTTATGGAAGAATGCTTAGAAATGTTTGGAATTAAGATTGAGAGGGAAAAGATGGTGGCCAACAAAGGGAAACGGACACAAGCAAAATTGTGTCTTAACAACTTATGGGGAAGATTTTCCCTACGCAACTTTGGCCTCTCACAATGCAAGATTACCGATGATCCAAATGAATTGGCTAAAATGTGCGACGACCCTTCCATTACCATCAATTCAATAGACGAACTTACCGAAGAGGTTATACTTATCAACTACATCAAGAAGAAGGACTGGGTGGAGGAGCATGACTCCTCAAATGTCATCATTTCGCTCTGGACTACTTCAGCAGCGAGGATCCACCTTCTGCATGCCATGCAGAAGGTTGTGAGGACACATGGGTGCCAACTACTCTACACCGACACTGATTCCCTAATCTTCTCACACCCCGTCAACAACTGTCCTCTTCAACTTGGGCCTCATCTGGGGCAATTTACAGATGAGTTCCCCGATTTCAACATCTTGGAATACTGCTCTGGAGGCGCCAAACAATATGGTTTGAAACTTCAAAAGAAGACTACTCCCAACAATGAACCTGACTACGTTCTCAAAGTCCGTGGGATGACGCTGAACTGGGATGTGATCAACAACCAAGGATTGTGCTATGAAAACTTAAAGAAGCAAGTTTTTGATTTTATTAATTGTGATAATATACCCCTTTTAGTTTCATACCCTAATTTTCTTAGACCATCTATTAAAGATGGGTCCATAATTACTCAGTCTCGTACAAAAATTTATAAGCCTTATGTCGGAAAAGGCATTGTCCGCCCTTCTGATTTTATTGTTTTAAATTTCGGTCATATCAATGACAAACATCCTCGAATTTTGCTTTAATTCTACAAGAGTTGGAAAGTAGCCAGGGGTATGGGCGCCCAAACTCTATACCAACTATCGTAATGTTGTGAGGTAATCCTCGCATGTAAAATCGGTGGTAGTGGACTTGAGTAAATTCTCAAGTCCCTGGTTGAGTTTGGTGATGCCTGTCGAATGGCGAAGCCACACTCCTATCTATTCTTATCTATTCTTATGTATTTTTTGTAAAAATTTTGTAAATATTTTATTCACAATTTTTGTAAATAATTTTTATTTGTGATAAAATTCTAAAATACAATTTTGAAAATATTTATAAATAGGAGTTACAAGTTTTAGGGGTAAAAATACATAATTAGTAAAACAAAGATAAAATTTTGTAAATATTAAAAAATTATGAAAATGAAGACATAGTTTTTAGGGAAGATTTTACATAATTAGTGAAACAAAGTAGTAGATTTCAAAATTAAGGAAAAGGAGTTTTTCATTTTAGGGGTAAAATTACAAAATTAAGAAAAAGAAGATGAAATTTATCAATTTTCATCTTTTTCACTGTAAGATAGGCGTGCATGTGTAGAGGGTGCACACGTGTTTTAGGTATATACATGCTCACCAACCATCTTGACTAAAATCTCCTCTGTACATCTCCATCTCTTCCTCAAATTCTTTATCCATAATTATTTCAGGGCTATCAGGTGGTGAAGAGATGGTAAGCTTTTCTTCAAAGTCCGATGATAAACTTTTATGTTGCTCTTCGTCTTCAACAAATTCCAATAGCTCAATAGGATAAAATCGATCTTTATCCCAGAATCGTCGTTCAATAATACAATTTAAGTAAGGATTTTTAAGTTGAA